CCATAGGTTGTGTCAGTGACATTGAAACAATTGCCAAGTAAAGCTCACTTGTTGGTTGTTTGGTTTCTCTCGGTCTGTCTTTACCTTACTTTTTATTTTATTTTAACTGGTAAAATTAAACATCAACTTTCTCATCCCCCAGAAATTCCCATTTTATTTATTTTATATATGTTTACGTCCAACATGATGGATAAAGGACGAGCATAACAAATCCCACTTTAGCAAAGTGTCCTTTGCATCTGTCCTAAGTTAATTGTGTTTTGTACATCATATTGTGACATTAACTATACTACTGAATTGTGATTGCATGTTATGTTGCAGTACACCAATATGTCCCACCTTCTCTCATGGTAAACACTTTGATGAGGTTTCATGAGTTCGGCACCTTTTATCATAGACTTTCGAGATTGCTGCTTCTTAAAAAAAAAAACCCCGTCAATAACGTGAGACCTTGGTGATGCTCAAACCTGCCCATCTGATTGGTGTCTTGTGTGAAGTTCTCTTGCCTTCTGGGTCCCCAAGCCGGCTCCCATTTACAGGTTATTCATTCGGAGTATGACAAAGGTGCCTAATTAGTCATGGCGGTGATTATACCACTGGAGCCAAAAGTCTATTTAGATAGTCACCATATTGTGAACCAGTGGGGAGAAGGCAATGATGCATCTGATTATGAAGTTGATACTGAATGAGGCATTGCTGGCTTGTAAACAGCAATGGAGCCCAGTTAGTCATGCTGATTATGATGGCCCTGTCTCAACAGGAAGCTGGTAATCAGTGAAACGGACCTTGATTTAAATGAATAATGATGCCTGCAGGGGCCCCCAAGTGATCTAAAGTGCACAATATGCCACTCCTAATTTTCATTTTTGCTTTGAGATATTATCTGAGGACTTGATATAGGGCCTGTTTTTCCCTTCATCCTCCTAGCTATCAATCCAGGCATTTTTTATTTTTTAATGGTGCTCAGCTTTAAGCTCACTCACTGGTATTTGGAGGTGCTGCAGTGTCATCACTAGTCATCAAGTGCTCTGTGGCCTGAGACCATATTGGCAGCTATGCATTAAATTTCTAATGTGCCTGGCAGAGCTACATTATCGTCCCCATCAAAGTGACAAGGGCAGGGATAAAGCACTGCGCTTGGCTGTCCATGAGATCACTGGAAAATGGGATTTGTGGATATGGCTTGGCAGCGTGCAAAGTTGTGTTTTAGAATGCTTTCTTTGAATTCGCTTTGTTTCTGCCTCGCTGATTTGACAGCTGCAGATGAGGCAGACGTAGCTGGCCAGTTCCACCTGCATTCGAAGTCCCAGTCCTGTGATAGGACTCTCTCTCACCTGGCTGCCTCTGGAGATGTGCAGTTTGTAACACTGTGGTTCTTTGCACACCTCAGTATGTAAGGAAATTCTCCGATTGAAAGAACAAAAGTATTCTCTAGACCACTATCTAATTTTGAAAGAGCAGTTTGGTTAGCTACTACAAATTGTGTGCAGTAAAACAAGCTTTGGAGGACGGAAGTTGTGATGGACAAGACTGAATCTTCAATAGTAAAATCTGAAGTGAATTTTACCTGCCAAAAAAGAGATGCAAGTATAATTGCAGTATTCTTTTCTGTGTTACTCTTGTGTTCCAGCTGGATGGTTGGTTCGTCGTAGCCTGTGCTGTGCCCAGATTCAGGCCCTTGGTCTTCAGGTTGTTGAGTAACATGATATAATTGCAGGATAAATGCTCTCAATAGCTTTTCAAGATTACTTTAAGAGGCACAATGCCTCTTATAGTGTTCTATATTTTTCCAATGTTTTCATCCAAGGATAATTATGAATATTGAACATCTAATTTCTAATCACTGCTCCCACTGACTCATAAATGTACTGATTAATTGATCATGACCCAACTGGTCATTGGGAATTTAAAAAGTCACTCAATTTAAAAATTGCTTTCGATTACTTGTCAGTCAATAAACCATGAAAATATCCTAAAGATATCATGGAAATTTGCTGGGTTTCAGTGATCTGCCAAATGTATTGAACATGACGGCTTTGTCATGTCTGCTTATAAAACAAAGATCACAAACACAGTTGCAGACAAATTAAGTTCTCTGATTTGTACCATTTGTCAAGAAATAGTGTTGTAGTCAAGACCACCCAAACCGAGACCAAGTCAAGACCAAGACCGGTTCCCCACAATAAAATGTGGAATGAGATCATAGGTACTTCTTAAATTGATCTGAAAGATCCACATTCCCATTAAAACACCCACATACAAAACACTAAGAGCTGAAATCAACGTAAGCATCTTTATTCAGCACTCCATTTCCATGCTTACCCATCGCGTGGAGGGGGGACAGTCGTTAACGGGAACAATACATTTTTAATCTGTGTTGTTGGTTGCATTTGAAGTAATACGTTTTACATCCAATGAAAGTAAGGATGTTAACAAATAAATCGGGTAATGCAAAAGAAATTTATTGATATTCCCAAAGTTAAGGTCGTGACTGGTCTTAAAATCCCAAGTCCACGACCATCAAAAAGTGATCTTAAGACCACAGCACTAAGAAATAGTCTTAAAACTGACATGGATGTGGGGATAAAAAAGCTGGAACTGTTTACACTGGAGTTGGTTATTGGAAAAGTGCATCTTTTTAAAAAATGGTACAAATTGTTCAAGATGAACACAAGAAACCGCTTCTCAGCATTGGGTATGAAATGACTAATGTCTGGCCACCGTGTGCTGTCCGGAAACAAGAGCCAAGAGGCTCTGGCTTCAGGTGCAATGCACAGGCGATAGAAAGCCAAGCTCCTTGCGATGATTAATGACCTGCACCTCATGCCAGGAATTTTTAAACGCACTGTCCTGATCATGAGTGTAAGCGGCACACACTCCAGCAGCTTTGTGACAACTCTGCTGCTGCCTTTCTCCCTGTTTCACTTGCATTCACACACACACACACACACACGCACTCAATCTTAAGTGGCCACTGAATCTCAAGCTGTGGAGTATATGGAAGTGAGGAAATGCTGTTGATTTGGTTCGTAACTGTAGACTGGCCTATTATCTGTGCTTTTCTGAGGCCATACCTTCTTTGTTTGTGTGTTTATGTTGACATTTCTTTTCAGTCCACCAATAACATAGCCTTAACTGCAGTAATGTCACAGGAATGTATTTGCTCAGTTATATTGACCAACCACTATAATTGGATGCAGATAATGAATGTAATTAGGGCTGGGCGGTATATTATGGGGTATACCGATATTATTTCAACAGATATAACATTAAACTGTTTATACTGATATATATAGTGCTGGGATATAAATAAATGATAATTATCACAATATCATTTTCCTCCATAACAATATAACAAATGCTCAATATATCGTCAAATGTTTGATTTAATTTGAATCGATAACAAAATTTTCTATCAAGATATTTATTTTGTTGAGGAAAAGGGACTATCCACTGTCTGTCATTCTGAGCATAAAGAAAAGTGTAACCTCACAATTAACAATCTGGTTTCTTCAATTTTCTCTCAGGAGAAAAAATCAGCCTTTAAATTCTAAATAATTAATTTGACATTTATGGTGATAATTATCTATCGAGTGATATTAAATGTTTTTAACGTGATAACATTTTTTTAGCCATATTGCCCAGCCCTACCAATATATTTAATGTTGAGTTAATTAATGTTTCTTGCCAGCGTTTGCTCCTCCCTCTCTCTCACCGCAGAGCCCCGCCCCTCCGTTTGCTCGCAGGCCCTCTCTACCTCATAAACTCTCTAAAGCCAAGTTCACACTTTACGATTTTTAGCCAGATTTGCTGGTCAGCGAGCTCGGCGACCGTCTGTGATCGTGGGTAAATCAGCAATCGATTGGAGATCGCCAGTCATTTTCTGAACTACTCAACGCATCAAAAAGGCTCCCTGACACATCGCCGCAGTCTGCTTGGCGTGGGGCAGAGTCACTACGTTACAACACGTGGATGTTTTTGGCTACCACATTGTTTTGGAAGGCTACGTCGTCAACACGACTCCTCAGCATGCGCTGCAACGCATCGGTATTAAGCCTAAAAGTCCTGGGAGGTAACTTTTAGTCTATTTTGCTCAGCCCTAAATCTTGACAAAAACACAAAAAATAAGGTTATTGAAACTAAATTACACAAACATACATTGTTTTGTAGCATTTTAGGAACTTCTCTAGTGTGTCTCCTGTTCTTTGGTACACATCTCTATTTGAGACAGAAGAGGTAATTGTCTCCGTATCTACCTTGCTATAAGTTCTTTATGCATGAAGTGTGTTACGTCATGAGGTATGTGGGCCTCTGAACATACCATAAAAAAGCCCACATTAATGAGCATTAATGAATAGCGAAGAAGGTTCCTCTGAAAATGTACTGAACACTTGCTTCATTCTTTGGCAGCAGTCTTCTCAACAGTGTCAGCTCTTTCGTTGTGCTTCTTGACAGCATCCCAGCCTCCTCGGCTTACCGTAGTTACAGTGTGAATCAACGCCTGTTTGCAGTGATATTCCTTTATATTTATTCTCCTTTTGCTAGTTTTTTTATTCTTTGGTCCTCACCAGACTCATTTCACGCCTTTTGTCACTCCAGCACATGCCAGTGGTTGCAGTTGGAATTATCTGTACAATAAGCAGGCTTTGTTCTGAAAAATGCCACATTATGTGTGAGAGCCCTTCATCTATCCCTCTTTTTTTAACTGAGGGCTGACCTGAGAGTTGTTGGCATCAGCACAAAGGCTCACATAGTGAATGGAGGCTTTATCTTCCCTATTCTAACATGGCAAAGTCTCTCCAGCTTACCCATTCAGCCCGCCCTCAGAAAATCTGTAAATAAAATAACCTATTCTTTCCTAGAGTTAAATGATTTTGCTCTGTGAACAGCTGATATACTTTGGCAAAATATGCTCTATAAATGAGAATAGATGTTCCTACTGTGTGTGGTTATTTTGCCTTATACTCAGCCCTTTTCTCTTTGTCTTTTGTTTACTCCAGGTTCAACTACAGATCAACGCACCATCTCACCACAAATGGCTTCTATGAGTTCCTTAACTGGTTTGATGAAAGGGCCTGGTACCCCTTGGGCAGGATTGTTGGTGGCACAGTAAGTTTCTGCTCAAATTGACGCAGCCAAGCTCAGTGTTTTACACATTTGTTTCATCATTCATTCAATTCTTTCACATCTTTAGAGGAATACAGCTTTAAAGACAACGGCCTTGTGAAGTAAAGGAAAATACAAAATTGAAATGAGAAAACCTTGAAGAGGCTGGCAGGAGTGCGCACAGAAATGTAGTCTCTTGGTGTAGGCCTGAAGGAGGCACTGCCTGGGGAGTCCATAGTTCTGCTGGAGGACATTAAATGCTCACATGGGTGATGCCGGTGCCTATGGAATGGGAGTCAGTAAGTGGTGGTTCGCACTTCTGAAAAAGGAGGGAAAAGTTGTGCTCCAGCTCTCTGGGTATAACACTGCTCAGCCTCTCCATGAGGGCTTATGCAAGGGTACCGGAAAGGACGCTCCAGCGGATTGATGAACCTTAGACTGAGGAGGAGCAGTGCACTAACAAAAAAAATGTGTGTTCTTGTATGGGAACACTGATGGTATTTGAGATGCCGGGGCCACTGATACAAGATTTGTTGCCAGAATGAGACGCGTGCATATATCTTGAAGAAGTCAATAGATATTTTCTGAAGTCATTGGGCTCCAACAAGGTTTTGCCCTGATGTTTTTTATGGTAAAAAAGGCACAGGTGACGCATAGAGTTTCCAGTTTGTAATCTCAAAATTGCATCACATTTGCTGATGATGTTGCACTGTTGGCTTAATCAGACTGTGACCTCTGGTGTGAACTGGCTTGCTTTGCAACAGGCTATAAAGCAGTGTAGATGAGAGTCAGCAGCTCGCAGTTTGAGGCCATGTTACTCTGCTAAATTGCCTTCTTCACTTTGGGAGTAAGTTGCTGGCTCAGGTGAAGAAGTACAATTAACTTGGGATCTTGTTCGCGAGTGAGGGTAAGATGGAGCCTGAGCTCGACAGGCAAATTGGTACAGCATCAGGCGTGCAGGAAGACATTTTGGCTTAGGGGTGCTGTAGAGTAGAAATGCGCCCATGCAATGTTGGGAGTAACATGTTACAAAAGTAACGCAATTACAGTAATGTGTTGCTTTTTGCTGTAACAGTTATATAACGCATTACTAAAAATAAATTGCTAATATTAGGCCTGCCCTTTACAATCTCAATAATGCACGTTACAACTCATTTTAACCCAAAATTAAGTGATGTTTTTTTTTTTTTTTTTTATAATTCACACATTTATAAAACACCTAGAAACATTTCGGCAAGTGTAATGTTATTTCCTGTTGTGGGAATCCGATGGTCGAGACTGTAGGCAGGGTGCAAAACTACAAGGGAGCTCAGATCCTCTTAACATGACGGTAGCTTCCCTGATGGATCATGGGTAAATAGATTTCTATAGGCTGTGTGTTTCTGCTTTAGGGAATTACTTTCCTGATCAGAGAGGCTGCTGTCAGGTCATCCTGACCGATCTAATCAATGACATTATGCGGCTGTGCCTCGTGCATAAATACGCACAACGTCTTTCTTAACGGGGGAGACGATTCATCCCATTTCACCCATCCACACCCCACCCTCACCCCACTCTATTAATCGTAAGGTTAAGGACAAAGACCCACCCGATCCGCGGATTTAACTCCTCACTAGAACCCACCTGTGCAGCACAGCTTATCAGAATAATGCGCCCATTAAACAGCAGTGAAAGTAACTCAAAGTAACGCAAAAGTAGTGTAAAGCATTACAATTCAGAGACTAATAATCAAGAGTAATATTGTAATATAACTAATTACTATCAAATGACGACAACTAATAATCTATAATGTTTTATTACATTTTGGAAGTAACTTGCCCAACACTATGCGCATGACACGACTGTGTGTGGGCACGCACTTGCACACTTTGCGTTAACACAGAGCGGTTATGGTCATATGAGGTCACCAAGGTCCGTACCTCCGTAACTATCTGTTACACGATCAACTTAAATGAAGGCCATACGGGCGGAGCTGATTACAGTCTCTATCCTCATTTCAACTTGAAAAACTGTTCCACGCTCAGTGTCCCCACTTGGGGAAACACATGAAGCACATGAAAACCTTGTGCGTGCAATAACTGAGCGCACCGCTGCAAAACGTTTTGTGACTTTCCGGGTGTTAAAATAGGGTGAAGCTTCTCCCCATTAAAAGAGACGCTGTGCGCATTTACGCATGGGGTACAGCAGCATAATATTTAAATTGACACGCCGACAGGATCAGTCAGGATCTAATGGTAATTCATGTTCTGTGGTGTTCTTCACATCCAAAAGGTCTCACACAGTCCAGGTTCATACAGTGAAACGGTTTGGAGTAAATCAGCTGTCCTCCTGATCAATCCTGAGCTCCATCAGAGCGTCTAAATTATTATTTCATTAAAATGTTGAATTCTGTTTCCTTTGCAGAGTTTCCTCTACCCTTTCAAGTTTATCAGTTTTTAGTTTTGCTGCATAAATGTCTCAGGTTAGTTGCTGTGACATTACAGCGGCGATGAAAACGTTTAAAATGACTGACAGCAGCCTCTCGATCGAATCATGAAAGTAAACCGGTCATACATCAGCACAATAAAGAAATCACCTTGGAAAGTTAAAAGGACCGGTCAAAGTGGGATAAATCCGAGAAAGAAATTAGTTGGGTTGGGGGCTGTAGGATGATTTGTGCATACATGATTATTCAGATATTGTCAGAGCCGATCCGCGCATCACACCAATGTAGCTCCTATAGTCGTGACAAAACAGTGCAAACAGCTTCTGATGTCAAATTTTTAGGCTGTAACATCAAGAGCATCCTCTGCATTCAGCACTAACCTGCTGTATTTTATGTTCTTATAGTAACAATAGGGCCCATTATGTAGTCTGCATATGTAATTTGCACACTGTGTACCTCCTGTGTCAATAGGGGGTGCTGCAGCACCCTCCGCACCCCCCTTCCCACTCCCTTGTACGGCATCGCCAGCCATGTCTGTGTTGCATTTGACTTTAGCGGGAGCTGTACCTGAAGGCAAATCTCTGCATTTAGTAGATCTTTCATTGTAGCCATGAGATCGGTGTAGTGACTGAAAGTATGAGAATTCAAGCTGCTTCAAGGATTTTTGTACATAGGGTGTCTGGACTCACCCTTTGGGATGGGGTGAGGAGCTCAGACACAACGAAGTGTTTTGGCGTAGAACCACAGCTCTTTCGTGTTTTTAAAAAGACCCAGTTGAGGTGGTTTAGGAATCTGGCCTGGAGGGTAGCATGGGGTTATCTGGGGTTAGGCAAGGCAGTGCACAGATACCATAGAGGCCTATAAGCCTCCACTGGGCAGGATGGATTTAAGTCACAATCCAATAGCAAGAGCTGTTATCTTGACGGATTTCCCTGGCTGCAAAGGCCTCGCTGTTTACCAGCAGCAACAGTTGTTGTGAAGCATTGACCCTTTTCAGTGAAAAATACAGCGCGCCGATTCCACGCAATTTATCTCCCATTTCCCCCGACTCCCCTCCTCTGTGCATCTCTTCTCCAGCCTCATCTTCTCAGCCCTGAACTGTGATGCCTCTGTGAGTAAAATACCTCTGGCCTATCCATCTCCCTCTCCTCTTTAAATGCCCCACCTGCCTTCTTTCTTTTGAGTGAGCTTCATAGACTCACCAGCTTTTGCACACTGAGCTGAAATTGCTCTAGCTAATGGTGCATCAGGACTACATAATCCAGGTCCTCAGTGCCAAATAAATGTGGAAGTGTCTCCCAACATGTTTCCATTATTGAGGCCAGCTGAGAAGCGGGGATAGAGACTGGCAGAAAGAGAATGAGAAAAGACAGTCACACCGCAGACACCAAAGATCAGTGTCCGTGCATTGTAAACTCAGTCCTGCCTGCTGATTGGAGAGTTCCTCTGCCTAGTTGAGACAGCGAGGCATGTTAATGTCGTGTATTCCTTTCAGATGCTGTTATTATTACAACACCAAGCAGATGGCGCAGGGCAGGAGCTTTATTCACGCTACATGCCTATATTTGAATATAGTATTCACTACTGCGCAAGAGATGCAAGGAATTGGAATCCAAACCCATCCGTCAGCATTCATCTGTTAAAGGCAATTACCATCAGCTCCTGGTAATTGCATATGACAGGCCTAGCTTGTAATAATGAATGTGCTAGTTCTGTTACAGTACGTGGATACTTGAGTTAGGCCTTGTAGGCCCAGGGTGGAAGCTGAAACTCATGATTAGACTGGTAATCAGAATTGGTTCTGTTTAGTTTTAAGTTCATTTTTATGACATTTAGAGGATCCCTGGGCTGCACCACGCATTGTCTTCTACATACAAATAAGCACACAAAGCAAACACATCTCATATCTTTCTGACATTTCATGAATGTATGAGGGGGGGGGGGGGAAACCCAAAACGAATAACTGAGTAATTCACACATGACTCCTTTTGAAGAACATTAAAGCAAGTTGTGCTGATGTCTTCTGCTCAAATTTAGTTTCACATAAAAGTCGATTCATTTTCCAGTTGAAAATTACTTTAAATATTATCTTTTGCTCAGCAGACTACCCTCAACACAGACCAATCTGCAAATAGAGACAAACGAGAGCTACTGCTGAATCAGAGCTTGGGGTTTTTTACGAGGTGGAAAGACAGTAGGTTCTGTGATGAGCATCTGTGTAATGTAGAACTTTCTCTCTGGCAGAACTGGCTTCTCTCTGTACATCGTTTCTGGTATTATGGTTCATTTTGAGTTGATCCAACATTAAATACCCACTAGCTCACCAAATGTGTATGAATCCACATCTGAAAGTAGTCCCCCACACATGCATTATTTAATCATGTTGAGTAACACTTGCTAAAAACTACAGCACCCAGCTGTCTTAGGAAATTACTCTGGCTTTTAAAAAAATGAAGCCATATATTTGGGACTGTGTTGGTTTTTTTTAACCACAGACAAGATAGGGAAGTAGAAAGTATTGAGAGAAAGACTACTGCTTTGATTTTGGTGGTCTTATGAGATTAGTTGACAATTAAATACAGATTTTTTATTTTTTTTTGACAGCCTTGTCCTTCAACAGGCTAGGTCTGCTAACAACCCACATTTGACTTGGAAGAAGTTTAGTGCCAGATGGTAAGTCACATTCTGCCTTATAGGGTTCACAGGCATTTCGATAGCAGCTGGATGGGTCACACTAAATGCAAATGTCCCCCTATAACATGCAAATCTATGCAAACTGGAGCAAGATCTAGGAGTTCATGCACAGAGGAGATCTGACAGAGCTGTCAATTTCCCTTTTACCTGCTGTGTCTTTAAGTGAGAAGCTGGCGGTGGATGGGCTTGCTGGCCAGAATAATCTGGTGCTTTGCTCAAGGGCACCATGCTGATGGTAGTTGCTGGAGTAACAGGAAGCCAACCATTTATTTACTGTGTAGGCTAATTGTCAAAATCCCCCTTGTTTGCGTGACTGAGCTAGGTAATTTTCTGAACACAGACAGGCTTCTGGGAAGAAGGGCATTTAGTTTACTCCCACACTGCATTCGAAATCATAAAATGAATGTGTGAGAGCTCTTATTTGCATCATCCTTATGCTTTTAAAACATGCAGGGGTGTGGACAAGTGCTGAGTTCATCTCAGACTGGCACAGTCGGTTTCATAGCTCACAATGCAGGCACAATCCTTTGTTTTGAAAACTTAAAATAGTTTATGAATTACAAAATTACTTTCCCTCTTTGTTTTCAAAAACCTGTCATGACATTTTATCAATGTCCATCTCCTTTCTCATGGGGGGGAGTGGTGGTCTGACTCTTCTGGCTCCAGGTGGAATTCATAAAACCACCTTTGCTCTATCTGACAGCGAAGACCAAGACTCTTGTCTGTTGCATTCAACCATTTACCCGTCTGCACTCTGTTTAACACACCCTTTCTCTCCTTTCAGCAGCTATGGTTCACTTTTCTTCCTCTGTCTCTCCAACTTTATCTTTCATTATCTGTCTGTCTGCCCCTGCCGGTCTCTAATGTCTCGCTGTCTTTTCTCACCTCCAATATGCCTCCATTCTTTGTTCCTTCTCCCATCCAAACCTCCCCCTTTTTTTATTCAAAATCAGACAGATGATCCTGACAGTCCTCATTAATTGTGTATGATAGCGTTAAGTCTCTAAGCACTCAGATGGAGTGATATCAGTTAATGTGACACTTTAGTGCCTTTCTCCCTAGACCAGTCCAGCTGCCCTCTCCCTTTTTATTTCACTTCCACCCCCTCCTCCATTCCCCAAAGGACGACTGTCAGTTGCTCTTTCTCCTGAGCCACAGATAAGGAAGGAAGGCTTCTCTAATGTGACAGTCCATAACTACAGTGGGCTGTCAAGCCAACAAACCACTCTTTGTTGCCATAAGGACAATGACCCAAGTGCATTTTTGGTAACCTCTTTTGTCAGTTCTAGTTGATATTTTCAAAATGATCACGCTATGTTGGCGATTACGAGAAAAGTGTTGATAAATGCAGAATGTACTTGGTTGCAATGAACAATCTCAATCATGTCTGTAATGTTTTGGGACCTGGGCCCTACCACCCAGTTCAAAATGCCTAACAATTACAAGAGTAGTTTTGTAAATGGCAGGATACCAGAGAGTCTAATCCTTAGAGCCGTGAGCAAAGACATGGTTGATTTTCATTGAAGTAGATTGGTTGATGAAGCTTAGGTCTCCTAGGCACAGGCTAATTAGAGACGTGAAGACCTGAGTTTATTAGCGGCAAGGCAAAGTGCATGAACTGCGGCAACAGTGAACACGCATCAGGGACATCACTCGCACGTTAAACACAGCCCTGCTTTTTTTTATTTTATGTTCTTACTTCAGACAGCCAGTGTACTGCACAGGGCCCTAATTGGATCTGCTCTCATGTATAGACGAGACAGGGACACGAGGGCTTGCCTACGCACACCCCAGCTTCAGAGTGTAGGATTTAAGTCATAACTTTCTGTTGAATGTCATACATGGCAACAATTTGTGAGAATAGACTAATTGTTTCAGTCATTTATAAAGCAAAAAATGTCATTGTAAATTTAATAGATTTCTGTGTTGGACTTTTGGTCAGACAAAACCAGCTATTCATAGAGTTCACTTTTGGCTTTGACTATTTTTTAAAACATTTTAAATGACAAATAATCAACAGATGTATTGATTGTATTATAATAAGTTGCAGCACCACATGGCAGTGCAAAGTGTTGGTCCAAGTCTTCCGACATATTTAGTTGAATTTTTCTCAGTATACAGAAACTGAATGAGACATTTGTTTTGCCACATTTTTGTCCTCGCTTAGTATGTAATCTATTGGCTCTAAAGAAGTGGATGGTAGTATAAATAAAAGCCTGTGTCAATCAATAAAGTGTATTAGAAATTCATGCAGCTTTTATCTTTCATAGTCCTCCTCTTTGTAATGCTTAGAATTTTTCTTATCTCACCTAAAATATTTTTTCCCCCTCTTTGTACCTTTCAATGCTTTCTCTCTCATCTTGCACAGTCCTTTTCATTCATTTACCGTTGCTCATGTCTAGGGCTGCAACAAAAGATTAATTTTTATTTTACTAAGCTGCCATTTATTTTCTCGATCAAGCCATTAGTGGTTTAGTCTACAAAACATCAGAAAACAATATAAAAATCCCAAGCGATTTTCTAGAGCCCATGTTTTTACCCAATTAAAGATATTCATTTAACAGTAATGTTAGACAAGGAAAAGCTGCAAATACTCGCATTTAAGAAATTGGAATCATATTTTTGCTTGAAAAGTTGATGATTAATGTTCTAATCGTTACACTCATTGCTTTACTCTTGTCTCACCTATCTTCCTTTCGGTCCCTGACATCCCTCCCACCCTTCATGCTTGTCTTTGTTCTCACAAGCTCTCTCTCTCTGCCCCATCTCTCAGGTATACCCCGGGTTAATGGTGACTGCCGGCCTCATCCACTATGTTCTCAACCTGCTCCACATCACGGTCCACATCCGCGACGTGTGTGTCTTTCTGGCGCCAGTGTTCAGCGGTCTGACCGCCATCTCCACCTTCCTTCTGACACGGGAGCTGTGGAACCAGGGTGCAGGGCTGCTGGCGGCCTGCTTCATTGCCATTGTCCCAGGCTATATCTCCCGCTCTGTCGCTGGCTCTTTCGACAACGAGGGCATCGCCATCTTCGCCCTGCAATTCACCTACTACCTCTGGGTATGTACAGTAGTCAAATGATAAAAAGGTGCAATAAGGAAGAATCTAAATGTACATGAATGTAATATAGGCGAGCATGTAATTGCAATGTGGATGTGCACATCATGGTCAATATAATGAGGTGACACTTTAAACTTTAAACATTTGTGAGGAATCGGAATGAATCCTGAAGCCTCAGCATTTTAAATCTGCTTCAGCTGAAAAAGATATATCAAAATGTCTATAGTGAAAGCTCAGTCTTTTGTTCATGTTTAAGGGGTAGGCTTTATATAGCCAGAAAAGTAGTCCTATTTTCAATCTTAGTTGGCCTTACATGTTCTGAATTATTCATCCAAAGCCTTGAAAGGCACACTGGGCATCTTTGCCAACCGTGTGGAGCCCAGGAAACCGCTTCGTGCACTGTAAAACCTTCACAATAAGATGACCTTTAAGAGTAGAATTGAAAAAATCTCGGGTTAAAGGTTGAATAGCCCCCCTCCCAATTGACCTTCCTTTTCTAAAATATACTGTGTGAACACAACAGGTTGTGTTCTCCCCCTCAGGGCTGCTGACATTGTTGAATGTGCACTGTCATTGTGTTCAACTTGTTCCGATTTAATTTTGTATGTAACAAATATTTTTTCTTCAGTAATTAAAACATACTATGTCCAGGCTATCCTTGTTCTGCAAGGTAGACCTTGACCGAACAAAGCAATTCCACAGAGGAGGAGAAAATGTTAGAATACAGCTTGGATGCTCGCAGGAACTAGAGTGCAAAGACTTTTTGCAACACGCAGCAGGTGGAAGGAAGGAGTGTTTCAAGCTGGAAATGTCTGAAACAGACTTTTCACCGTACCTCAGTCCATCCACTCTTTTCAGTTGCATCAGCAGCTTTCTTACAGCCCCGCAACTATCTTACTGTGAATGCATCTCATATGTGTGTGCATATATGAAATTGAAGATCTCTGCTTTGCAAACAATTTTATCAGCATCCTGTTCTTTCTTGTTATTGGAATTGACCTTGACAAGCATTCAGGAGTTTTTCATTCTGTATTGAGTTGTATCTGTTGAGTGATACACGCTTTATTATTTTTTTCTTTAAAACTCACAATAAAAATGCTAATGCAAGAACAGGATTTATGTTGAAAATTAAAATGTGGAAAGGAAACTTCAGATAGAAAAGAACTCAATATTTCCAGATTACCAGCTTAATGAAAATCGAAGTAATCAGCTTCTTCTGTTAAATCAGGTTTCTCTGGACTTTAAAGAGTGGGTTGAGATTGTAAATTGCCTTGCGGGAAGGATGTTGTTGCAGTAATGATAGAATTGAATGTAAAAGCACCAATAGATATGTAAAATAACACTGCAGAAATATCAAACAATAGTGTATACACACTAGTTTAAGCAAAAGTATGTATTATGTATGTCCTGCTACATGCTATGTTGGTTTCAGCGTAATACGTTTACATTTACATAGATTATGTATTAATTTGGCTGATGCTTTTGTCCAAAACAATGTACAAATAAGGTGCAATTTTGTTACCTTTTTTTTTTTTTTTAGGATAATAGAGCATATGTGTTCAGTAAATACTGTCCAAAGAGGTAGGTTGATTTTTGAAGATTGAAAGAGATTGTGCTTACGGAATGGAGTTTGGTAACTTGTTCCAAAACCGAGGGGCCCCATAAGAGAAGAGTTTGGATTGAGACTTCCTGACTCTTAATGACGTTTTCTATCATTTGCAAATCGTGGTGAACGAAAAGGATCATAAACCTCAAAAGAGATCCTTTTGTTTGTTTTCTTTTTTGCACACCTGCTGCTGTGTTTACTTTGGCAAAGGGCATGATTGTTTTGTTTCTAGGTCATACCAAAGCTCTGTGGCTTTGGTATTACCAAGAAAATATTACATGATAGAATGATGCATTCCTATTGGAAACAGAGGAGACTCAAATATGCCAAATGTCGATTGACTGTAACTGTGGCCATGTAGCTATAGGGAGACGTATCAGTCAAGAGTTACATAAACAAAGCATCAAATCAGATTTTTTTTCCATTGTACCCACAGCTTTCAAACATGACCTCCTGCAGCTGTATAAAATAAAAAAAAATCTTGTTAAAAACAGTGCAGACCAGCAGGAGTCCCACATTTATGTAGATGTGTATTTGGAGGCCATACAACATTGCTCATTAGCATTCAAGAAAAATGCTCTTTCTTAGCTGATAGTTTGGTGAGTCAGTTACTGCATAGCACACAGTAACAGATTCAGGCTACAGTTGAGCCTAACACAACCAATGCAAAGACTGAGAATGATCGTCACAGATGTTTACTTGGTGAACACGGAAATTAAGGTTTTCTCACTTGATGATGATCAAATCACCGTTGTGTGTGTGTGTAAAGATGTCTCTTTATAAGGGCCTTCAAATGAAGCAAAGTTGTTGTAGGTGCTGCAAAAATATTGATCCTTCATACTGCTTGGAAATTAAATGGGAATGGCAGTTGTAAAAAGGCAGATGGGAGTGAGAAGAAGCATAAACATTTTGTATATTACTTTTTGTCTTACTTTTTTGTCTTTTTTATTTATTTTTGTTTTCTATTTTTAATCTAAATTTTGCAGTTTAGAATTTTCTGTTTCCAGGTTAACTATCTATAATTTAACTGTCATTTGAATTCTCAAAGGAAATGTCCCACAGAGACACAAATTTGCTAGATGGCTGTTGGCGCCTCACGTTAGACAGACTGGTGAGCAGCAAAACTGGTACTCTGTCCTCACCCAAGAGTGTTTCAGTAAGTGAGCAGAAAAGAGCTTTCATTATGCATGCCACAGGCATTCAGCGAGTGGTAATAGTACCTTGCGGGTTATTTGTCCAATTTTTTTATTTTACCTTCAAGGTGTTGATCTCCCCTTTTTGCTCGAGCGTAAAGACACGCTGCATGGTAGAGGCTTTCATCCAGTAGTGATGTGGGTATTTCGTCATGCCATGCCTCACCGCTGTTTGTCACAGCGTAACAAGCGTGGCAGTACAGATGCCGCCGGGTTGGAAGGGACCTTTTTATCTGTCCAAGGATTCAGTCATCCCAGTTTATGTCACTTTGTCAAATCGTGCACGGCTGCATCCTCTACATGTGGTTTCAAGGTAGTATGAGTCACTAGGCTCGAGTATGCTCGCGGACAGCTGCATGGCCCTTTTTTGAACTCGCTCACTGTCACTGATCTGGCAATGACCTACAGTTTAGTGTCCAGGTGGCTGGCTGAGCGTGCCTGTTGTGTCTGCAATTTAAGTCCCGATACAACACGACTGTCTCTGTGTCTGTACCAGCTCAGCAGAGTGAAACCAAACAGCTGACAGTGCTACTCACTGGGAGAGCTGACATCCTACAACATACTGCATATCTGGGAGCCAAACATACTATATACATACAGGGTTTTATACGTATATGTGCAGGAAAAAAAACAAACACAGAATTTGAATTGCTTTTAATATATGTCGCTGGCATTGCAGAGATTTTTAAATCACATTTCAAGGAAACTGTTATGATCTGTAAAGGCTTTTTTTCCGGGCCGATCCCATTTATTAATAACCGATTAGACCGATGACTGATATTTAGAACAGATATATATACACACACACACATTTGGTGTAAAATCTTTATAAATAGTAAATTAAATGAATTAGAGATCCATCCCAGAGAATTACTTGTTTAACTATGAGTGATAAATTATCATAAACTTTGTCTTCACCTGCTGCCATTTATATTGTATTTATTTTTAGGATTTTATTGATACTATTTATTTGTATTCTTTATCTATACTCTTATTGGTTTTGCATTACAAAATAATTGCCTTTTAAAAATGTTATTGAAAAAAAAGAATAAATTCAGAACAGTAATCAAATTTAATATTTTATTATAACTGTTTTCAGAGCAGCAACAAAAGTAAAGTTTACAGCAGCAAAGTCACTATATCAAATCAATATCGCACTGGAAAAAATGCAACAAATAAATAAATAAATTTAAGCAAAAGCCATGTACCGGTGCTGCTGGTTTTGCTGCACTTGCTTACAGTAACGAGCGTAGTTATGGTTAACTGGTGTAAACTACACTGATCTCCGCTAACTAGCTCAGCATGTGTGTATATTTGTGGAGCTCTGCTGAGAGAGGAGGGGAGGGGCTGCAGCGTGATGGATCGTTGGTTCTATCGGCTACTTCCGCACAATAGTATTAGAGTGTTGATAGACTATTACTCTTGACTTGTAACCAGTCAGCTAGTACTGTGGGTGGGACATTGCTCGAGCCCACAGAGTGGTGAGTACAGACAGAGGCGGCTGCAGCAGAGCCAAAGGAGCACATTTTTTAAATTAATTAATTATATAGGCTTTTAGGTTTTTAAAATGACGGATGCAGATTATTGGAAAAATGCTGAATATCGGCCACGATAATTGGCCTGACCAATTATTGGTCGACCCCTACTATGAACAAACCCATGGATTATTGGAAGCATCAAAGACTAACTGGTAACGACCATTCCCATCAACATGCACAGAAATGTTTTATTTTTTTTAAACAAAGGGTCAATATATTAAACAGATTATGATAGGATTGCAATGCTTGAAAGATTGCGTGATCATAACAAAAAGACATCTATCAAGACAGTTTGCCTAAATTATAGTAGAGTAAGGGGGAATAAAAAGGAAAGTCACAAAACTTTAAGACATATTGAAAGAGTTGGGCAACAAGAACTGCTAACTCTGCACAGAGTTGCAAATAAGTAATAACTATGTAAAAGGTGAACTCCAGGTGAACCCCATCTCTGCATTGAAATCTGAATGAACTGCATTATGAAATAATATTCTCTACTCTCTAAAAATACTAGTCAGTAAGAATTTTAAAATGATTACTTCCGTTCACATGTGATGTAGCCTTTTCTGATTCTAATTTTTGTAAAAGTTTGAAATCACATGAATAAGAACAATGAGTAAATCATGGCAAAACGGTGACAGATCAGTCATGACTCCCAAAATCTTATTACAATTGGCTTAACAATTATAATATTTATGTAATACATCTGAGGTGTTTTCCTCTTGTGTCTATCAGAATTTTTTTAAACTCTGCACAAGTCTCCAAAAATCACCATTTAACTTTTCTGGACTCATCCAAAAACTGTCACCAAACCATTTGTCTCACTGCAGGAAATGTGTATTAGGGTGTGTTGGGGACATCTTTCTCTCAGTGCTATCATAATGGCTTCTTGTCATCTTGTGTGTATGATCAATATCTCAAGCAATCTCCAAGTGAGGCAGGTGTTCCTCGCCACCGCCATCATTGCCTCCAAAGGTGGGAAAAAAATCCCCCTCCTCTGTTCTATTTGGCAAGGGCCCTGAAAAACAATCATCCTGGCCATGCACCACTGCTTCCCATTATCAGTCTCATTTACCCAGATTTGTCTTTGCGTTTTTCTTTCCTCCTCTCAGTCTTTCTTCCATCTTGTCTCCCTTTAATTGTCTGTCTTCTTTTGTCCCTGCCGTTGTTCTGCTCCTGCTGTGTTTTGCCTTATGCCTCTTATGTCTTGTTCTTCCTGCCTTGCTTTCTTTCCTTGTATCTCTTCCCTGTCTGTTTACCCCCAATCCTCCTTCACATGGCAAAAAAAAAAAGTTGTGCGGTCTTCATTATACAACTTCTTCATTTTATCCGCTAATAACCCATTCAACTCCACTTGCTTAATCTCTCTGTTTACCCCCCTCGCCCAAACACTCACACACCCTCCCATAATCTATAATTGAATCCACTCACACCCAGGAGAGCTGCTCTTTTTAACACCATAGCCCATGGTAACATGAATATACACACACTCACAGAGTTGCACTGCATCCCTCCCTTGCCGTAACCCTGTGCACTATGGCTACATTGTTATTGTAACAGTAATTCCACTCTTTCTCTCGGCTCGCATTTAATTAGCTGAACTGGTATCACACTGTGTGACTTCTTTGTCTTCACAAAGAGTGTGGTGGCTCGGAGGGCAGTTGGAAGAAGTGGTTGATGCAGCATTTGAACATGGCTTGAAATAGACAGCACAGGGCTGCATGCTAGCTTTGGCCCATCGTGAGTGGGAATATTGTCGGAGGAAAACGGAGCAGCTTGTACAGGAAGTGAAGTCCTAATCTGTCATTATGCACGTTTTCACTTTTAAACAGAAGAAGCAGACTCTGCATGGATTTCTGGAGAAGGTGTTTTGGTGGCTGTACCTTTGGCAGTATACATAAGCTAAAACTAATGCAGTATAATGAACCAGCCTTGGGATAAATCCTTCCTTCATGACAGCTGTAATGTTCAGTTTTTGTTGGATTTTTTTTTTTTTTTTTTTTTACAGAGGTGTTGATTCCATTTTAAGGCTGTAATTTTCAGAGGCAGCAGTGGTGAGATTGAATTGTAACGCTCTATACTGAGAGGTATTTCCAACATTTTGTCCACCCCATTTATATCAGTGAGGATACTCAATATTAGAAACTTCTCTCGGTATAGCACAGCTCAGCAGCAGTACAGAGTGCAGCCTCCTAGTAAGCTTGTTATTAAAAGTTGAATCAACACATCTCTAAAACATTTTCAACCAAAACTGAATATTAAAGCATATATGAAGGTAGGATTTATTGCAGGACTGTACTAGACTACAGTAGTTTCAGATATGTGTACCTAATAAACTGGCAAGCTACAACTTAAGCGCCATTTGGACAGGATTAATATTTTACTGGGAGGTGGATAAAGACACTGTATTTTTTCCCTCATATTAGTCATCATTCTAGCTGACATCTTAGCCACCTGCAAACTACAGGAGCGGAGTCTGTAAGACAAGGATATGTTGCGGAGACAACCATGTGACTTTTATTACCAGTAGGCTTAGTATTCTCTTTAAATTGCAGCTAAATAATTAAATGGTAAATAATACTAACTTTAATTATTAACACAGACAGTACTTAAAGTTCACTTACTGATGACTATGCTTTTACAATAGCAAATGGGCTACTATCTGCAAAAGCATTTCATTTAGCTAGCTCACTACACATAAAGTTAGTTCTACTGTGCTAAAGAAAGGACAGCAGAGACAGAATCAACTGTAAAATGACAATACAACCACCCATTTAATGAGCTTAGGGCTGTAGCTTAGGGTTCTGTAAAGTCTTTTACTTTTTTCTTCATTGTATGAGTTGACTGAAATTAGCTAAATCCAATTCTAAAAGTCAGACATTTGGACGGGATCAAAATCAGTCACTAGCGCATATTAAAATCACCACATCAGTTGAAATAAATCTCATCTAAATGGGGCTTTTGTCCTCTTACACCCACACAAACAGAGCAACTAGGGTGTAAAATGTTGTCACTTTCTTCTACCAGAAACAAAAGTTCCACCTTCTTGTAGGAGAAAATGATAATCGGGTCACCACAGACCTACTTACTGTGACCCACCTCAACACAAGGAAAACACTGCTTGTGGGTGGTTTATTTCTGCATGCACCCACAGAATGTGTGTCTGTGGGGTGGGGGTGTCTGTCTTTGCTGTTGATTCATTGGTGGCTGATCGAGGAGGCTGTCTAAGCTCAGCTGGGTATTTTGGCAAGACCTCCTCAGTCCAGCTTGATTCCCCCTCATCAGCAAATCTCAAGCATTGTTGGATGCGATCGAGCTTATTGACAAACCTCCTGTTACCCTATCCCCAACCCCGGGTTTGGTATTTTGAATGGTCACAGTTAAATGCATCTTTTAGTGTGTGTGTGTGTGTGTGTGTGTGTGCGTACATTTTTATTGTCTCAGTGTGTTTTTAAACATTAATGTGTACACTTGTATGCTTTATCGGCCTGTGGAGGGGAAGGGGGAGCTTGTTTACAAGATGTTTTCGTTGGTCTAGTCTGATCCGCTCTCCTCTCATCCTCTCTCTCACCACAGCTGGCTGTTTTTATATCTGCCATGATCATTAAGCTGTGATCATTAAACCACATTTAAAGATGCACAAAATATGCTTTTTTGTATGCTTTCAACCCATTTTGCAAGTTGATTTTGCACTTTTTTTCATTGGTTTCAAAATGTCTTAATTCACTGTTAAATCTTCTGTAAGTCTAGTGTTTCAGCAATGGGCGAACATCAAACAAATAGTGTAGCTTTAGTACAGAGGACAGCCTGCATTCAGTGCAGATTTTAAAATATTTCTACTGTAAGGAGAACACCTTGTCATTATCAGAGAAAATGTGCAGGCAGTGGTGCTTTTACTTTCTAGTGTCCCTGAAATGCAAACTGTGGGTCTCCCATGTCTTATTTGATGTTGAAGCACATGTGGCTACCATACTGCTGTGACTCATTTTATGATCTCTCTCTTTCTCTCACCGTAGGTGAAATCAGTGAAGACAGGCTCTGTATTCTGGACCATTGGCTGTTGTCTCTGCTATTTCTACATGGTAAGAATAGTTCACACACAAACACACTGGGCAGACTTACTTGACATACCTTTACATGACATTTTTTAAAGCTCAATATGAATCATAAGTATAGATCAACTTATGAGTTGTTATTCCGCTGTTCCATCTCTCAAATTAACTTAGGTGACACATGCTCATATATCCGTTTAGGACCCATATCCAAAATATTTAGTGGTTTTATACTTTTCCTCATAGTTTAATTACATTTATGAGGTGATAAGTAGAACTGAAAAGCATGTTTTGCAACAAACCCCAGGTTATATGTATTTGGTGCTAGTTATAAATTCAGAGCTGGATCTTGATAATTAACCCTGCCACTGAGACAGTAATGTTGGGGCGATTTTCCAGCATGGACCTGGCAATTCATGGTAAAAGGGAAATTCAGCCAGTGTTTTCTGCAGTATTTATGAATTCGGGCACAAGCCCATCAGGGAGTTGATGAGAGAGATAAGATAAAAAGACGATCCAGGCACACTGCCTCAGCGACAGATTGTTTGCGCGTGTGTGTGTGTGAGGGAGCGTGAGCGCCTATGAAAATCTCCAGCTTCTTGCTCATTCCCGGCTTAATCTCTGTGGCCGGCAGTGAGACAGATATCAAATGAAACAGATTACCGAAATCCAGCTTCATCGATCACACTGGGCCACAGCATCCAGGCGGGGTGAGGGGGGTAGGAGAGAGAGAGAGAAGGGATTGATGGAAAGATGAATAGAATAGGAGACAAAACAGAGGATGGAGATGCACAGACACAAAGGAATGGAGGGAGGTGTGGAAAGATAAGGGGGAAGAGAGTAGAGGGGGCAGAGAGATGGCGAGAAATACACCAATACGGTTAGACATGAAAGAACATATTGTGACGCGTAACTTCCGCACTGTCCTAGTCAGCAGCAATAGGAACATTGAGTCTCCTTGCTTCTTTCTCCTTATTACTACTTTCTCTCTCACACCCTCTCTCTGGCAATGTGATGTTCCTCTGTACTGCATCTGCAGCCCACCCACTGTTGCAGATGAGTCCTCCAGAAGTAAGCAACAAACTAGGCTTGTATGTTTCAACACCACCAACCTCCCGATAGCCCACACTGTCTCCTTTTGGTCCTGCACACAAAGTGCAGCATACACTCGTTGACCCACCCCTACTTTTTTACAACCCCATCACCTTACGCTGTCAATTTATTCAGGATATAGCCAAGGCTACCTCTTCCCATGGGGCTTAAACGAATGTGACACTTGTAAAGCAGATATGGAGACAGAGGTAAAGATCCCCTGCCTGGATATTGGCATAATCAGATAGGAGAGGACAGAGAAGGACGAGATTAAGAAGAGGATCAGAGCTGCAGGACCTACTGATGGACAGGAGCCACAGGAACCATTCTGCATGGCAACATTGTTGTTTCATCCCTCCAGGGGTTGAGGTTGAGTGGGTGAGGGGGGGAAAACAAGAGGACGGAGCAAAAGCAGATGCATGGATCAACGTTTATTCCCAAAGCTTTGGCTTACTTTTCTCTCTAAAGCCTCCACAGTCCCCTTTAGCAGTGCAGCCTGTATCATTGGGTCATGCCAAAAGCTCTTTGGCCTAATCAAGTATTGATTGAATGCTCTGAAAACAAGGCTCACTCAGGTAAATAATATAAGTTTGTTTGATTTGTTAGCCATGCTAGCGGCGTAGCTTTAAGGATGTCAGTGGTCAGTTGGTCCACCATTTTGGTCCAGACTGAAATATCAACAACTAATAGATGGATTGCCATGAAATATTGTCGACAGGTGTCAACGGTCTACAAAGGATGAAGCCTGCTGGTATTCCCATCAGCCAGTCAAAGCGTTCACCTCTCCTGTGAAATATCTTAACATCTACAAGATTATGTTCCACAGAAAATGTATCCTAATCACTTTGGCAATCCTCTGACTTTTCCTCTAGTACCAACATGATGTTGACATTTGTGGTTTCTAGTCAACTGATTCAATTCAAATTAGCTTTATTGGCATGAATGTGTAACAACAATATTGCCAAAGCATCATACATACAACATTGAACAGTGAATTGTCTCTATGTCAAAAGATTCTCATTAGATCGTTATTGTTATCCAAGGAGAGTTAAAATCAGGGACATCGCCTCTCATCCAAGAGGCTTCCATAACGACCAGCCAGCAGCACTAACGAACCAAGCGGTATCCGTTACCTTGATAATGACCCCACAGAGGCTAAAAATCTGGGATTCCCTACCAGTCAGTCAGAACTAAAGAAGCCTCTTGGGTGAGAGGTGAAATGTCTTCGAGTATCTTCAACCAAGTCCAGTTGCCCATGATTTTAATCTATCTCGGATGTCTCAGCAATGTTTGAATGTCTGTACCTAAAAAGTTGGAACAGACATTCACGCTCCGCGCTGAATGAAATGTAATAACCTCTGATTTTCTGTCTAATTCCATCATCTGGTCAAAGTTTAATGTTAAATACTTTGGTTTATGACCAAATACTTGCAAAACTGTCATTCCCATTAGCCTAAGCTGTACTTTAGTGCGAATTAATAAATATTAGCATGCTAACACGGCTAAAGTAAGATGGTCAACATGTTAAACATTATACTTAATACCAGCATGTTAACATTGTCATTGTGAGCATGTTAGCATGCTGATGTTAACATTTAGTTCTAAGCTGTAACTGCTAGCATCTCTGCTGGCAACGAATGGTTATGTATAACTTTGAACCTTAATATCATTTAAATGGGTCAGTTTTTGTACTAGGCTGTAAACATGTTTAATTCTGCTGTAAAGTTGTATGAATGGGTTCGAGAAACTTGGCATTTAGGCTTAATCTTTCAGCCCCGGAGGTTGGCACTTGAGATGTATACAGACATGCTATCTAAGAGTGGATTCTACAGTAGATTCACAGAGTAGGCTCTCTTTGTTTTTAATGTAAGCCATCTTAATGAACCCGAAAGTCACTACTGGTGTCAGAGAGGGTGTAGTAAGTGAATAATCGCACATAAACAGAAAAGTATTAATTTTAATTTTCACAAATGGACTGAATAACGTCCAACTAGGACATAGGCAGGCGGCAAACGCTTGTGCACACAAATAGAAATGTACAGGCCCACAGAGTAAACCCCCTGTCCCTGTTGCATGCTGTGTTCTCTATATCCTCTTCAGCGTGGCCCTGAGGTCATCAGATAAGCTCGGTATGAATTGTAGAGAGTGATAACAGCTAAAAGACTTTGCTCCAAACATTTACTGATTCCTGCCCTCAGCTGGCATGGTCAGAGGTCTGGCAGCTAGAATCATAATTTGAAATAAAGCTTGTTCATGTGCGCACACACATACACAGACCGTTTTGGATTTTGTCAAGGGCATTCATCTTTGCATGGTCCCCTAATGTGACCAGATGGCCAATTTCTCTCATTCTTTTTTCTTCCAGTTGATTGTGCGCTCTGCTGGCATGATCATTTATTCTAAAGACTTGAGAAGTTTGCTGATTAATAGACGCTGATACCACTTTCGCGTCAAGTTACCATAATTACCAATCCATGACTTGACTACATCGTTTAGGCCAATATCTAAATAGTAATTATGACTTATGAATTATTTAGCCATGCTAGCGAAATATTTCAACTATTAGATGAATCGCCATGAAATTTTGTACACACATTTGTAGTCCCCAGATGATTAATTAGACTGACTTTGGTGATCTTCTGGCTTTTCCTCTAGTGCCACCAGCAGTCCAGCATTTTCACTTATTCTGTATAATATCTCAACATAATGATGTGCCCTACTGACATAGGTGATCCCATGACTTCCTGTAGTGCCATCATCATGTCAAATTTATTATTGTTGAATACTTTAGTTTATGTCCTAGTAATTCATCAATCAACATCAACATATTCACATTGTCATGGAGAGCATGTTAAAGCTCCACTTAGGAATATATATTCAACATGGTGCTTAATTTATTATACAACCTTGTGTGATGAACCTTAATGCTTTAATGCCAAATTTTTAAGTTAACTCTATTTATTTTTTTCACGGCAAACTCTGCAAACGATATAACTGCAACACGACAGTAGATAACCAGTCTTTTAGTGTGTAAAGTTATTAAAACCACTGGTAATCTTAATTTTGAGTTGCCCTGAAAACTTGCAAATAGTCACCATGGGAATATCTCCGATCAACATCTTTCATCCCTCTGACACAGTGTTGAGCCTCCAACACTTTTGCCCAGTTAAGTATCCAAAAGGAAAAACAACCTTAGAAATAATGTTGACTTTGATTCTCAGTCAATAATGCGCCTCACGTATACCAGGGAAATCAATTTTCTTTTTTTCTTTTTTTTTTTCATTAGGTGTACCCTGAGAATTACTGGTGCCCATGGCATGGTTTTTGTTAATTAACACATGCCATGATTTCTCAAACATGCCTATCTATTAAGTGACTGGGTGACTTGTCCGTCTTCCATTTACATAGCAGATGTGTGATATTAAGTTTTACAGCCACAGGAATCTTGCACACCATGTTTCAAGTCTTATGTTTTCAATTATTCCCAGCCAGTCAGCAACAGAAATGTGATCAGCCGCCCCTGTGTCAACACTGAAAATGAGCCTTGAATTTAAGTCATTTCTGGTATTCATTCAGGTTACGGTTCACATGCTACTAATTGGCTGCCACCATCAGAAAGAACAGATGCAAATGACTGGCAAAAGATAATTGCACCTAACCATTCAGCAAGTTTTTTTCTTTCACTCTGCATTAATGTAGCATATTAATGTTTTTATCAATTAGATGCGAGGCGCTCGTTTTTCATCATTATACTTAGCAGGTGCAGTGGGGCTCTTTCTGACGAGCTGCTGCGAAAAGGATCAAACAATTTGCCTCTCTGCAACCCCTTTTCCTGTTTCATTCACTCTCCCTCTCCTGCTGTCTCTCCCCTTTCTGTTTCACTTTCTAGTACTTTACAACTGTCCTTTCTCTTTTCCTCTGTCTTGCTTACTTTCTCTGAACACTCTTGCTCTTACACTCTTTCTCTGTGCTCTCAAGACTGTCCGTCTAGTGCGCTCACTGTTTCCATTTGCTGTAGTCAAGTATAGGAAATTGAAAGCTTGTCAATGATGATTTTGTAGAGTCGTTTTATTGCCCCTACATTCAGCACTGAGATACTTAGCGGACCTCAAAAATGGTTGAAGTTTAATTTTAGTGGAGCTTTTAAAGTTATTGGAGCATCTTACATTTTTACATCTAACATGTAAAGTATGATTGCCTAGTTTTTATAGATTCTATATACGTCAGGCTTTTATCACTGTGTGCTTGTGTCTAATAGAGAAGAGCCAGTAAGATGTTTTTACAACCGCTCTTGAACGATTCCTTTCAATGTGTGCAAGGTGATTTTTGTGCAGGGTGCATGCATGTGAAAAGGGCTGCTTTTTAAATTCAAATTGTCTTTGAAAAAGGAGTTCATATGTTAGTCACATATTGCACTTAATCAATTTTTGCTTTTACTTACAGCACAATATATTGGAGCTACAGCAACAAGTTGATTTGTCAACCAGCTGACACCTGGATCTTTTGCTATTTTGAGAATTGATTAATCATTTCAGTTATTTTTTTTAACTAAAAATGCCAAACAATTAATGGTTCAAGCTTCTCAAATGTAAGGAGTTGCTGCTTTTCTTTCTGTTTTTATTTAATTGTAACCTAATTATCTTTGGGTTTCAGACTGTTGGTCGGACAAGACATTTGAAGACATTACCGCCGGGCACTTTTGGCATTTCATAGACTAGACAATTAATTGATCAATTGACAAAATAGAAAGCAGCAGAGAAATTGGTAATGAAAATAATTGTTGGTTGTTGCCCTAACATGTATGAACCAAGGTACTATTTGAAGTGGTAGAAATTAGCCTGATTGGAATAAACATATTCAGCTTTGCAGAGGGTTAAACATTGATTGGGGGGCTACAAACAGCACTGAATTCACAAGCTACAGTAACTTATAATTGCACAGCAATGCACCATTGTGGCAGACTTTTTAATCCGCACTTTAAATTGCATTCCCAGCTGAAGAAGTACGAGATTGTCTTCAACTATAAAGGATCACTTCAGTTTATCTAGGAACGCAACAATATGGAAAACCTCTTGTGTCTCAGCTGGACTTTGTTTTAATTAGCTGCCATCACGGAGGCAAACCTGACATCTTTCCTGCAAAGCTAATGTGTAGCATTTAAACAGGGAAAGCCACCATTCAGCAGAGTTATCGAAATTAAAACAGAAAAGCAAAATGTAGATTAGTTGATCTTATGGGGCAGTTCTTTCTAAATGTAAAATAATGTTTTAAAGATGGGGACATTCTGGTTGGCTGACTGACATGTTTTATGTGTATGTGTGTTCTAGGTGTCAGCATGGGGAGGTTATGTGTTTATTATCAACCTTATTCCTCTGCATGTGTTTGTGCTGCTTCTGATGCAACGCTACAGCAGAAGAGTCTACATCGGTAAGACAGACACACACACACACACACACACACACACACACACACACACACACACACACACGATGTTTAAAACTCCCCCACGTACAGTAGCTGAAATGTGTTTTCAGATCCTCTCCCGTTGGAATAAAAATGTATGCAATAAACAGACAAACCACTTCTCCTTCCTATGTGTCTACCAACATTGTTGCCCAAGCATTTGAACCTGAAACAAGCTCAAATGTCCAGTCACGCCTATGCTCATCTCTCACAACCGTAAGCGTTCCATCACCGCTCGTGCAGACATCCACACACCCACACACCACTTAACAATAAATGCAGCCACCTGCTACCTGATCCTCTTTATTTGCTTTTTTTTTTTTTTGCAAATACCAGAGCAGAGTGCTGGGGAAGAGGATAGGCTTGTTATTCCACAGAACATCCCAGGTTCACGGAGCACGTGGCAGCACATTATCCGGCGACTCAGAGAACTCCACACATCCGTCGTCAGCTTAGCTATGAGCTGACGACAGCAGACACTTTTGTTGTGGTCAAGAAAAATTATACCAATGTCAAGTACCCTTTACGCATGATTATATGTAGTACTTGTTGGAACCGCAAAGCATAGTCTTTGAGAGCTTTGAAAATAAATTATGGCCTCCTAATAGTGATAAAGATTTGACCTATGTCTGCTCTATCTCCAAATGGTTCTTCAACAATGCAGTGCTGTTAGGTGAAGCGGAAAATGTCCGCCCGCCTTCGTTGTTCCTCAAAGATATGTGCAGCCAGAGCATAATCCAGCAAACTTGCACCTTTTGGTAGCAAGAGAGAGATGGAGAAATGTATTTGTAGACACATTCTGTTGACATAAAAGACATTAGGTCTTCTTGCACTTCCTATATTCCTCACCTTCCCTCCTCTTCACATCTTGTAGCCCCTCTTTTCAGAGCCCAGTTGTCTCTCCATGACTACAAAGGAACATAGAAGAAATAAAAGAAGATCCCAGTTTAATAAAATGCCTTGCAGTCAGTATTCCCTCACAATTCATCTCCCTCTGTCTTGAGTCAATAGCAGACGTGTGAGAAAGAGATTGCTGAGGGCGGTCACAACTACTTCAAAAATGCGGGCACACTCTTCAGGAAGAGTTTGAAATCTTAATTAAACTGCAAATTGTGAATCGGTTCCCCCCAGCTACAAAGGTTGGAGTTGCACTGTTCTCAGCACTGCCATCTCACTCCAGGCCTCGCCGGCACACCGCGTCACGCCAGCTCCCATTTTCTCAGTAAATGACATTAGATTAGCTATTTTATATTTACTCTCTCTGAGGTGCGACAGTGAAAATCAATAGACTTTAAATACCTCTATTGAGGTTGATTTCCCTGAGTGGGACCCAGACTGGAGCGGTTGAACAGAAGGTTCTTAGTAGCAGCAATAGATTGTTTTGATTGTTTGACTTCTTATCTGGTCTGCTCCCTCTCTCCCTGTTTCTCTTTTGTCTGTTCTCAGCTTACAGCACTTTCTACATTGTGGGTCTCGTATTGTCGATGCAGATACCGTTCGTCGGCTTCCAGCCAATCAGGACAAGCGAGCACATGGCAGCTGCCGGTAAGTCCCCCAACCTCTCTACCTTAGAGTGGCTGATCCTGCATTCTTCCTGGAATAACAAGTTCTCTTCTATAACATTTCAAAATGAATGACATTGTGAGTGCAATGTGTCTTCATATTTTGCAAAATGTTGCTGCATAATTTCTTAAACTATGACATATAGGGGTGGGCGGGGGGGAATCGATGCAGCATAGTATCATGATATTTGCCATGGCAATACTATATCGATACACGGACGCCAAGTATCGATATTTTATTATATAAATTGCAGATGGAATTTTAACTTTTTGGTACTAGAATAATAAAATCTATTGCTTTTTTTTAGTCCACTAGAAAACTTAAGAGGACCATATAGAGAACTGAAAAAGTGATATGAACAAACAGAGAAATGTATCTTTTTAGATAAACAGATGTTGACAAAGTTTGACTTTAGGGACATAATTGGAAGTTGGAAAAAGGTAATAAATTTCAATATCGCAACATAAATATCGTAATAATATCGTATCATGGGGCCTCTGGTTATTCCCACCCCTAATGACATAGTCATTCTTTTCTCACAAACATCAGACCTTCTTACAGGTACGTGATGGCACGGCCCTAAACTTTACTGTTTTGGTTCACTCTGCCACTTTCATCAGCCTCCTTTCCCCACTGTACACCACACATTAGTTGACGAAAGTAATTACGCATTAAGTAGCTAAATATTTCCCTCTGAAGTTGGAGGATGAATATTGGGCTTTTATTCATCACACAGCAAGAACTATGAGTCAAAATGAATGCTAATATTGCTCTGTCTGCTCAGTGTCTAAATAGACAGAATAAATAGTTAATAGTTAATTCAGATTTAAATCAAAGAATGCAGGTGGAATGCAGGTTAATGCTACATTTGTTTTTGCTAATACACAGATTTATGTTATAATGCATATCTTGAATTACATATTTTAACCTCGTGTGACACACTCCTGTTTAAAGTTACATCAAGTAATTGAGACTGTTTTTCTGTTTGTGTTTTTATACAAGGACACATTGATACAGTGCAGAGATTTTATTTCAGAGCTTTCATGTCTACTTTCAACTTGCTGTGACCCTGCCAACAAATGTATGCCGCAAAACACAGGGGAGAAAGGTTCAGGCTGATGTATTAAAGGTGTGACTTTACATAAGCCACTTGCTTGTTATCCACAGCACCTTACAGAACCATGGATGCACACACTTCAAGATTGGTTGACTGCAGCGGGAATTGAATCCCCTTGCACTAACGGCGTTAGTCATGCTTGGTGTGTGGAAGAACACAGGACCTTCTCATAATACATTTACAAAATAAAAAACCCGTGGCTTCACTTGCCACCCATATGGGTTTAGCACTTAAGTACTTTTCATTTTTGGCTTGTGGGTAGTTTATTAAAGCTCGTTCAGTTTCACCTCTCAAGAGTGGGCCCATCTGCTGCCCAACAGCACGGATGGGTGCAAATGTATGTGCATGATTCTTGTTTTCATTTACATCCAGATTGGGAGAGGACTGTTGTTGGCAGCTTTATGAACTGAGCAGCACCTTTTTTTTGTGTGTGAATTCTCTTACCACTGCAGCAGACGTACAGTGAAGTGTCCCTGTTTTTCTGGGTGTCTACAATGCAAACTGCATTATGAGAGGCTTTGAAGAATGCACCACCAAAAATCATCTCTGTTCTTTGGCTCCCCACTCTCTCAAAGAGCAAGTGTGTTTTCATTGCGCCAGAGTAGCAGCTGCTCAGAACATCTGGTGGTAGCATTCAGGGAGTACAGTGGGAGACAGGAAGAGAGTGACAGAGTCATGGTCGATACCCTTGAGATGTCAGCCCCGCAGGCAGGCAGGCAGGGTGGCATAGAGTGACAAGCGTGTTAGCACTACGGCGACTCTCCAGGAGATAGGCCGGGGCTTAACCTTGGAAATGGGTGAGACCTGTCGTCGGCAGTGGTGGGCTAGCGGAGGAATGAGGCGATATCACACAAGGTTTGTCAAAGGATGGGAGGTGACGAAAGGGAGGGAAAGCATGCCTCTTTTCAATTTTTTATATCTAATTCACCATACAAACAAAGAGACACACTAGAGAAAACGACACTGAGAAAGTGACGGAGGAAAGAAGTGTGACCGAAGGGGCTGCAAAAAAAAAGACAAGGCGAGGGAAGGAGAAGGGCTTATTCACACAAATCTGTCTCATGCATTTGAAATATGTTGTCCCGCAGTATTTGTCTTTCACATCTGCATGAACAGCCAAAGGGGCTATAGCGAACTGCTTTGTGGTGAATTCTGCCAAACTGACAACGGTGCTTCTTAACCACGTAAAACCCTCTTTGTACCCTGCAGGAGCCAGCATGAATCAGGGCCTCCTCAAATATTCAGTGCGAGTTTCCTTTTGTATGTTTGCTCACTCTGTTGTTTCTGTCTTTTGGCTTTTCTCAGGTGTGTTTGCACTTCTCCAAGCCTACGCCTTCCTGCAGTACCTGAAGGACAGGCTGACCAGACAGGAGTTCCAGACACTCTTCTTCCTCGGAGTCTCGCTCGCTGCCGGCGTGGTCTTCCTCACAGTGATCTATCTCACATACACAGGTCTGGATGTGTGCATACATGGTTTTACAGTATTGCTTAGTCACGATGCACATGGTGCTTTCCATATAAACCATCTCATTTTTTGTCCTTGTAACTAGAGCTGAAACAATTAGTCGTTTAATTGAATAGTTTGTTTGACAGAATATTACTCAGAGCATAATATTCGATTAAGTCAGTTATTAAGCAAAAATGCAAAAAAGAAAATTAGGTTTCAGCTTCACAGTTTTGAGGATTTGCTGCTTTTCTCTGGTGTAATTATAAATGTTAGTCAGACAAAACAGGCAGATAGAAGACATCACCTTGGGCTCATTTTATACAGCTAAATCCATTTTAGAAATGATCAATAACATTAAACATAATCATTAATTGTGGCCCTCCTTGTAAGCGGTTATAATCAGTCGCAAGCAATATCATGGCTTGACAAATGGAGAGACTTCTCATTAATCAATACACATTACTGAACATAAACAGCTAATCCAACAAGGATGAAGAAGGGGAAAAACAAAAAAAGTAGCATTTTAAATTAAAAGGCTACAAACCTGTAAGTAATTAATGCTCTACTACTGAATGTCATGCATGTAATGCGTGTCTATTAAGCTGTTACAGATCTTATTATAGGTTATCTGGCTGTATGCATTATTTTCTCATCAGTACCAACAACTGCATACACACACCATACAATAAACAACTTTCTGTGACAGTTTCCATATACGCCAAGCCTGACAATATATTTTCACATAGTTAGTATATGAATTTGTCTAAGTTAATGACAACTGAAATATCCCTTCCCAAACCAAGAAATATAAGACTTGCCTCTCCCAAATGAAGCCTGAATAGTCGTGTGAATGTCAGAAAATTAAATTAATTAAAAACTTCCTTTGGGTTGTGCAGTTGCACATGGAAATCAGGCACAACAAAGATGGCTAATGAATGATGTTATGTTATGTAGCAAAGTCAGTGGTCAGATCATCTTCTTATCTATTAATGATAGCTGAATGTTTAAGCCAAGCTACTGTCAACAAAAACTTACTACTGCTAATTGAGTATCAGTGTCAAGATCGCTCATCATAATATAGCTTGTACTAAAATAGAAGATGGTTAATGTTTTCACCCCCATCTGTTTGACTGTTTGTTAGCACAATATTTTAGAAATCACCCTGAAATTGGCTGAGATTTGGTGGACAGATAGCCAGGATCAGTGAGGACCAGTTTATTAGATTTTGATGGTGATCCAGATCTGGGATTTAAGCCATTTTATTTATTTTTTTACAGTATGTTCATATACTATCCCCCAATGGTCTGACATCCAGGCCTCCCCAGTGAGCTGCTAATAAGCGTTTGGTTTGTCAGAGAATTAAACCTGGAAGGCAAATGATAAACAAATATAAACTGATACGGATGCTGCAGCTCTGCAAATTGGAGAACTGTTGAGTGTTGGTGGAGGATTGTCCTCTACAGAGTGCCTTTTTTATGAACGTGTGTGTTGTTTTTGACTGGCCTGGTTGAACCCTGATGTGCACGTCCAGCTGGTTGAACTTTGTCCTTGTTAATGTTTTTATCCATTATTTTAAGCTCCGGCTGGGTTTCTGGCCACAGTGGACGGCCCCAGACATTTCAAACGTTACCTCCTTTCTATTTATTGATTTTTATTCAAATTTTTTCTATTTGTCTCCTGCTAATGTGTTAGATTTAAGATCACATACTCAAAGCAGCATGACCTAGAGAATTTGGTGCACAAAACCCCACAGTTTTGTACTTTGTTTATGTACTCTGGAGTCACAAAATGTCAGATTGGTTGCCATTGCATCCAGGCCTTTTGCCCAGGGCAAAGAGAGGGTGGCACATTTCATCTGCAATAAAATTTGTGACCTTAGATTGGTTACCTGCCTGTATTAGAAGTGGTCGCCCACTTATGAAGTCTGTTCAGAAGTCCAGTCTCGTGAGGATCCTGGCTTCACTTGGACGTCTGGTAAACGTTGTGATCTGTCAGCCGTCTCAATTGAGCAGTGGGGATCAGTGACTGTTTGGTGATATGCCAGTTTTGCAGTGAAACTGCGTATGTCCCTCTCTAGTCTGGCAGACCTTTTCATCTCGTAAGCGTCTCGGCAACAGAGGAGCCGGGTGGGTTTCCTCAGTATCTTGAACACGGAGCCAAGTATTGATTGGTTAAAATGGTGTCATACTTTAAATCACCTTTCAAAATATGTCCTTCATCTCAGTGTTACTGCTTTTTCTTCTTTTTCTTGCCTGCTTTGGTTTAGTGCTCTGCAACATCTTATTTAAAAAGTGCTCTATTTTTTATGATGTGATTGTGATTATGTTATTATTATTAAATGCATTAGGCACAGTCTCTTTTTTTTTTTTAAAGGGCATCAAAGGACATGGTACAGCTATATGGTGGTGCAAACATGTCCAAAAAAATGTAAAATATGGAGCCAGGGCTTTTGTTTGTGTTGTCTGTATGCACACGTGAACATGTGAGTAGCTCTGAGAGCCTCCAGGCAACAGTTCAGAGCTGAAATGTATTCCAGATCAAAGCGTCACCAAAATAAGACATTTGGATGCACACATAAAATGCCCTGTGCGGTCTAATTTGCAGCTTAAATAGTTTCAGTTACGTTTGTAAACAAGTCAATTCCAGCAATTAAGTGCCATCAATAGAATACATTTTCAGCATTGACACATTCTCTTAAGTTTTTCTTGGTTTTGAACCAGAGTTGGCATTTTACTTAGCTGCTTAGCTTCAAATGGCTGTCACAGTAAGAAATTGAGAAAACAAGTTGTCAGGGCCTTGAATAAAAGATGAGGTTAAGATTTTCAGTTTACGTAAATACTGTCTTGGTTAACAAAATTTAGGGTTACATTCAAAACACTTCTCATCAAAATGCACAGTGTTTTATCTTTGAGGTTTAACAAATGTGTTGAATGCATTTCCTTCCTCATACACCATTACCAAAGCACTGTTTTAATTTTTTTTGGTACATTATATATTGTGGTTTGTTCATGTATGTTTGCTTTCTAGCAGTCCTCTTTTTCACTACTGCTGTCGGTGCATTGCTGCATTTTTTAGCACATTACTGCCACCAACTGTTGATTAGCGGAATAGTGTGAGACCACCGGCAGGAAGTTAGTCGTGCTGCTTTGCACCTGTCCACAGTACCGACAAAAAGAACAAAACTCCATTGAGCTCCTAGTGGTCAAAAACTCAACAGTGTACCGTTAAACTCTTCATAAGGATGGCTCTTTGGAGCTTTGCCTAGATTGCTGCTTATTTAGTCATGGATATTTATTATAGAGAGGTTTTCAGCGCCTTTGAATAAGTAGATACACATTACCACATTATACAGTATATTTCAATTCTTTTTGCACAATCAATATTAAAACTGTACTGTAGACATCCATTGTTTATCCTCAGGCAATCTCTGCTACACATTTTTCCAGACCTGTGGGTCAGATGGGTAACCATTTTATTTATTCAGAGCTGCACGGTTGGGTTGAGTTTGCCATATAAATAATTACATTTTGATATAACAGGATAATGAAATTATCTAAAACATTATTTTAATGTTTTCCTATGCTTATCTTTACATTAACACAATTAAACAAACTTCCTGCAAACCTACCAACGGTCGTTGTGTTCCAAGGCTCAAATGAAAAGCTTTAAAAGGCTAGTGTTTATTTTTTTCATTGACTGGCTTTTCTTTCTTCAGGATACATTGCTCCATGGAGTGGCCGTTTCTACTCACTTTGGGACACCGGGTAAGCTCTGCTGACCTTCACACTCTCGCTGCCGATGAAACACTTGTTCAATCGAGTCCATGTGTGTTTTCTAAGATTGTTATAAACCTCCCTCCACACCATCCCAGAGGGGAAAACAGTACAGCACAGACTTTGTGTTGAACTATTGTCTTACTTCCAAATAGCACCAGGCACCCCGTGTTCTCCAAATGCAGTGCAGCGTGTTTGATATTTCAGCACACCCAATCAATTCTCCCCCGTTTGCTGACTGAAGCAGTATGGGAAAGATTTTTTTTCTCTCTTTCCTCTGGAGGCTGATACTAATTCCTTAATGTGCTGTGTGTTTTCTCTTTCCCAGCTGTAATCACAAAACACTTTAAAGAGAAATATTTAAAATTGTATAGAAAGTGCTGTGTAAAAGCCCAAAATTAATAAGTAGGGAACACACAGACAGATGAGGGGAGGAAAAAAGCACATTACTCGTCTCTCGTGCTAAATGTGTTCGTATTTTACCATAAGTATGCTGGGGAGGTAAATTATCTTTTTCCCTCATTATTCTAGAGTTAATCAGGAGGATCTATTGTATAATTTGTCTCAACACTCCCAATGTGCTCAACCCAACATGAATTACATCCTGTATGTCTCTCCCTCCCCCTTCTCTCTGTCCCCCTCCCTTCACTCACCCTCCTTCCCTCTATCCCCAGCTATGCTAAGATCCACATCCCCATCATAGCGTCTGTGTCGGAGCACCAGCCAACGACGTGGGTCTCATTCTTCTTCGACCTCCACATCCTGGTCTGCACTTTCCCAGCAGGCCTCTGGTTCTGTATCAAGAACATCAACGATGAACGAGTGTTTGGTAGGAAGATTTTATTTAAATCACAGCTCTGCTGTTTTTGAAAATAGGCTTTAAAACCTTAATTTCCATTGTTAATACCGCATTTAGAGTTGCAAAGGACAAGGACTGCTGGAAGTGTGTATTTTTTTTAATTTTTTTTTTGGTCCACCACTAAAATATCTCAACTATTGGATGGATTGCCATGAAATTTGTGTCACCGTCAAGATGAATTATAGTAACTTTGCTGATCCAATTACTTTTCTGCTAAATTTCAACATTCGCATGCTGGTGTAGAGCATTTAGTGCCAACACTCAAAGAGACGTAAGCATGGCTGTAGCCTCTTTTTGATTCAGTCAGTTTGGCATCAGGGCTGGCTCTAAATACTATGGTACCTCAGCCGCCATTGGAGCCAGCCAGAGGCGTGACTCAGAGAGGTACAAACTCAGAACGCTTAGTCACTGGGGCAGCTGTGGCTCGGGAGATAGAGTGGGTCACCAGTGGTTCTCAAACTGGGTGACGGGCCCCATCAGGGGTGTTGTGCATGTTGAGCAGACCTGAAGTTGTATGAATAAGATTCCTGTGGTGACAATCACAAGTGCTCTGATGCTAGCAAGGCTATTTTGCTAACCTGAATCTAGTTTATTGCAATCGCCGGTATTGATAAAATAAAATACATTTTTGCTGGGATGGGGGTGCATGAACTGATCCATTTACCATTGTAGTCATGACGGAACACAGACACACTGCAACATAGCTGCCTCTGAAAGAAAGTTAATTTACACTGCAGATTGTATTATCATTACCATTGTTTTATATTATTCCCAACAGCATGAGCTTCACAGAAGCGTTGAGCTCTGTGATTGGATTTTTTTGCCAAAATGTACCTTGGGAGTCATAGGTAACTTCCTACTTTTTTTATGTAAGAGCTTGTGCCCTTGACTTTTTTTATTTTTTATCAAAGAATCTGATCTCTTCTAACACAGTTGATCTTTTTTCTTTTGTGCTGATGATTCACCGTTTTATGTCCATCCCAGCCTTGGAAGTGCTCAATCTGTCAGCCACCTAACAACACTATTATGGAGAAAATGAATGACTTTTACTTCCAGAACCAGGGGTTCCTGAAATAGCTGCTTCCACTTCACAACTCTCTTGTGTTATCCCTTATTTGTCAGTTTAACTTGTATGGCCTTTTTATTAACTAATTGTTCTGTTGTTAGTCAGTTATCTGCTTCATTAACATGCATAATAGTATATCATAAGTCACAAACATCCATGTGCCTGAATGGAAAAACAATGAGGTCGGTCTGAACTTCTTTAAACATCAACTCAAACTAAACTTGTGTTTACTGAGTAAGACAGCCAGGATCAAGGGCAGAGAACCTTTTGAATGCTAGAAACAGTCTTTCAGCAGTCTGTTTCTCCCTCAGACTTAATCAGCCTATTACAACTATTGATTAGCCATGCACCTGTTGAGCCGGGTCGGCACTTTTCAAGGACGGAAAGCAGCCAGCCATTTAGTCTTTGAGTTCTGCAGAGCCAACATAGACTGATTATGCTGTGTTGCTCTTAACAACTCAATTTCTCTTTTTCATGTCCTTATCTCCTTCTCACACGCTGCCCTATTTCCTGTCTCTCCTTTACATTCACGCTGTCTTTCTCCTTGTCTGACCTTTGTCTACTTTGTTTCCTCTCTCCCCACACCCCCACCTCTCACCCATTACCTTTTTCCCCCTGCTTCCTACCAGTGGCCCTATATGCCATCAGTGCGGTCTATTTTGCCGGCGTGATGGTGCGTCTGATGCTGACACTGACTCCGGTGGTGTGCATGCTGTCTGCAGTGGCTTTCTCCAGTGTCTTTGAGCATTACATGGGAGACGACACAAAGAGGGAGAAACCCCCTGCTGAAGACAGCAGCGATGAGGACGACAAGAGGAATTCTGGGAATCTTTATGACAAGGTACAAGAAAAGACAGAATAACTGTGAAATGCACATTATCTACAGAAATAATGCTGCTTTCCTTGAGGAAATATTCATATTCTTTGCACTTTGGATTGCCCTACAACAGGTCATGTTATTACAATGCATATAATACTGTAGTACCACGGCAATCAAGAAAAGGCAAAACGCCAGTCACTGAGATATTTTGCAGCACCTTTTACAGTTTGGATTTATCACTTATCTGTTATCAGCTTCCCTCGTCACTCCCCACCAGTTTTTCTCAGCAGTTTGTGTAAACTGTGATTCAGCTGCAACTGTGTGATGCCGTTTACATAATTTTAGCCGTCTCACTTATTTTTATTTTTTTATTTTGATCCGACTGCTGTCACTGTTGAACCAAACTGTGGTGCTGTCTATTCAAGTCCACCTTGTCATCAGTTAACATGCTGAAATAACATTTTAGCTTAAAAAATGACCTGTTTAATCCAGTTTTTTAACATTGAGACAGCAATGTTGGAAGTCTGCTTGTGTTGATGGTGCTCGTTGCACATCCTCGCTTTCCTGCACAGGTGGAAAAAACACAGTGATGGACATTTAGCTTACAATGCTTGAAGGCTTTTCAGTTAGTAAAAATAAAAATTGCACACATTTCTGCTGATAGTTCTTTGTAAAAGCGTGTGGTAAAAAGCAGTACTGTGCCAAGTATAACAATGCTGATTTTAAAACAAAAGGTTCTGCAAATGTTTTGAGGTCAGATGCATGTAAATGACATCATATAAAATTAAATCTCTACGGGGTTCCTTTAAGACAGACACTCAGCCTTCTTTACATGAATTTATGTTCATGGAGGAGTTTAGTGTTAAACAATTTGTTTTCTAAGAGATTTTTCCTATATGTTAGTCAGTTAACTAACATTTCTTTAATTAGGAAGTTCCAGTAAGATCAAGATCTCCTTTAAAAGACAGGCCTAAGAACAAATTACATATACTATCACATCGCAGTTTGGAATTAGTGGCAGAATTCCAATTTTACGTCCTCTTATCCACATGTATCTCCGCTCACTTTTAGCCACAGTTCAGAGCAAGTTAATTTGAGGTGCTGATGAAGAAGATAATCCTCCTCACCAGAGGTTTCGTAGCCTCAACAATTCTCTTCTGCCAGTGTAAAGTAATATTAACTCATCACACAGCATGGAAAACTTCTGGCTGCTCTAGGAAGCTTTGCTCAATTAATTCATTCAATAATTTATTTCACTCAATAATTCATTTCCCCTAAACGCTACAGACTTTGCCGTCCATCTCGGTGTTTGTCTCCCCCTGCAGGCTGGCAAGGTGCGCAAACATGTGTCAGAGCAGGAGAAGGCTGAGGAAGGCTTGGGTCCAAACATCAAGTCCATTGTCACCATGCTCATGCTGATGCTGCTGATGATGTTCGCCGTCCACTGCACCTGGGTCACCAGCAACGCTTACTCCAGTCCCAGCGTGGTGCTCGCCTCGTACAACCATGACGGGTACGAATTACACACGCACACATTTCAGTAATGTGTTAATGGATGTCAAATAACCGGAAGGAGCCAAGCAAAAGCTCTAGTTATAGCTAATGATGCGGAGAGATGGATTGCACCACCTTGTATGCAAATGAGCACGTGTGTGAGTATGCAAGAACACACAGAGCAGCAGCATAGAGGGAGCATATGTATCTTTCAAAAGAGGTTTGTGGAAATATTGATATGTGCACCTATAAGCGTTGTTATGATTGCTTAGAGTTTCTAGGTCACAGAAAACATCTGTGGACCGTTTCAAAAAGCTGATATAATATTCTCTCTGAGCTTCTTTACAGGCATAATTATTCTCTTTAAGCATTAGAGAGGAAATATTGAAGACCAAGACTAAATAGAAGACACAACTTCTCATACATATATTAATGAAACCACGGCAGTTTTCAGACAATGCTTTAGCTATGCTACTGGGAGCAGCATAGCTGTCACTCTGCTCTTTTCCTCTCGCACATATACACCCACACACTCGCGCAAAAAATGCACACACAGACATAAAATGATTACCCTACCTACGGTTAATTGGTTGCCAGGCTTTCTGTCTGCTCCCGCTGCTCGAGGTAAAATTAGGACATGAACGTTCAAAGTGTGAGGTGTTTTTTAACCCTCCGATTATTATGCACGGATGCTCTATTTTCAGCTGTTGTTGCTCTTCTGATTCAAAGTCTTAAATTAAATATTAATATCTCCGTAGCCATATGCCTGTCAAGGATGTTACCTGTCGACGTTATTTTCCTTGTTAGGACCCGCAACATTCTGGACGACTTCAGGGAGGCCTACTACTGGTTGAGACAGAACACAGATGAGCATGCACGCGTCATGTCCTGGTGGGACTACGGCTACCAAATAGCCGGCATGGCCAACAGGACCACGCTGGTAGATAATAACACGTGGAACAACAGTCATATAGCACTGGTAAGCCCCCCGTTTCTCTCTTGTCTGTCTTATTCCGTTTCTTGTCTTCCTCTCTTTGCTCTCTTCCTGGTTCACTCTCGCTTCATGCACACACAGGGAAATGAATGATTCCTTCTTGCAGCCACTGGATGATTAGCAAGCTCTTCACTCAATTTTTTATGTAATTGCCACTTTGTATAAAACCGCTCCTTCCAACAAGCCAGATAATCTTGTTTGTTCAAACTTTTCCCATTGAATTTACACTGAAGGGGATTTCAGTTAATTGCTGTCAGAGTCTGTGGGTTTGATTTATTTTTTTTTCTCTCTGCTGCCAAATATAGAGGAATGTTTGTGTCTTTTAGTTAAGTCTGTTAAAGCCCTCTAGCTTTCTTCTTTCTTGCTTTCTACCTGCTGCCTGTTGTCTCTTCAGCATTTGTCCATAGGAAATGTAATTACAGAGAATGTAAGATGGATCCCTGTTTAATAATATTAAATGTTAATGTTTTTTTTGCCGTCGCAGTATGTCTTGTGAAACAGGAAACCCCACTTAAAGTACGGCTTGTCATTCTTTATCATTGTTTTTAGGTGGGGAAAGCCATGTCATCCAACGAGAGTGCAGCCTACAAAATCATGAGGTCACTGGACGTGGACTACGTGCTGATTATCTTCGGGGGTGTCATTGGCTACTCAGGAGACGATATAAACAAGTTCCTGTGGATGGTGAGGATAGCGGAGGGAGAGCACCCCAAGGACATCAGGGTGAGTGTGTCACTGCAGCTATTCTCCAGGAAACCATGTAGCAGGGACTTGCACAGCAGTGAAATCAATGTTACCTCTTCACTCACACACACTCGCTCTTTATAATGGTGCTCAAGGACAGACTGCTCAGCCCATTGTGGTGCTTTCATGTTATCCTCAACTTGGAGAACAAGTTGAAGACAGAATGGTAACTAGAACAGTTTTTTAATGCAGGAATATATGTAATTGAGATTTCCATGTCGTCCCCATTTTCTTTTACATTTTTACTTTTTGCTGGCTCGAATTGTCAACATACAGCACCTCATTAATGGCTGCCGCTAGCTCATATCCGGCACAACAGCCACAAAAACCCATTCAGTAGGTTGACCTTATTATGGAAGCGACACGCTGCTTATTGGAAAATGTTCAGCAGCGGAAGCAGACTTGTTTGGACTTCAGAGGCTATTCTGTGTTCAGTTTTAGCTGGACTGAATCTATCGCTGTGTGCGTTATGATCTTTCCTGTCATCCCGCCACTCTGCTGTCATAGCGGTACTTTAACACTCTGAAGTCTTTGTCATGTACATGTGTAGAATTGAAAATCCAGCTACAGTAAACATGGCCAAGAAGAAATCTAGCTGAGGAAACCATGTTTCTCTAGTCTCCTTCCCCTACTCTGTAACCCAGTTACTTAAAGGAGTAGTTCAGAATTTCTTGCAGAGAGTTAAATGAGAAGATGGATACCACTCATGTCTGTGTGGTAAATATGAAGCTACATCCAGCAAATGGTTAGCTTAGCTAAGAAACAAGGTGGAACAGTTAGACTGGATCTGTCCGAATACCGCAAAAATCTGCTTAACGGCACCTCCAAAGATCACTACACGTTATGTCTAATTCATTTAATCTGTACAAAAAACAAAAAGTTAATAAGTGTATTACCCAAAACTTGCATGTGCACTGGTTTCTGGTTTTGGGTGTAACAGAGATAAGTAATTTCTAAAGTGTGGGACAACATTTGTTATGTTTATGCAAAGACGATACTTTTAATCGATTTAAGTGATGTAATTTATTTATTTGTATCCCACATGCCATCCACCCCTTTCATCATTTCCAGTCACTGAGTTCTTGCTGCTTGTGCTACTAAATTACTTCACAGTCTACTTATTTTCTGGACATTATCTCATCCTTGTTGTCTTTAGGAGAGCGACTACTTCACCCCTCAGGGAGAGTTCAGAGTGGACAAAGCCGGTTCACCAACTCTGCTCAACTGCCTCATGTACAAGATGTCCTATTATCGATTTGGTGAAATGCAGGTGAGGATAGCAGTTCTAATTATCGACTGGCCAAATAACATTGTCAAAAACTCTAACTCTGCATGTATTTGATCATTTTTTCCCCATCTGAAAGGAAGGTCAGGGCTAGAGTGAAAGACAGAGAATTTTTGTGTGGGTTATTTTCTACTTCGGAGGTACAAATAATGAGTTTCAGCTCTTTGCCAAGATCAGAAAGTAACAAGCAGCTGCCATCACCAAAGAAGTAAAATGTATAGCTACTGTATATTATGCAGCACACAGCTTTACCAGAGAATAACAAGAAGGTGCCACCACCAAAGGTGTAAAACTTCTTGCTACTGTATCTCAAAAGCAGAGCTGGGTGACAGACAGGCAGAAGAGGATTTAAGCAATGCCTTGGGGAGCTCCTGAAGATCGGAGTGGGGTTTTTGGGGGGGGGGTGAAGGATTGGTGGAAGCTTTGAAATGTGCCACGGCTACTTCTGGCAGGTAGCAGTGGAGAGATGAGAGGGATCCTTCTTGCCAGGTGCTTACATCCCTGCTGTAGATGTGGCCAACAGCTCAACTGAGAAGGGAGAATCAATGCAGCCGCCATCCGCAGACAGACAGCCAAAGCTCTGTGCAGCTCACAGCGCCGTTTCAGGGGGAAAAGAGATGCAGAGACTGAAGCACAGAAGGAGACGGAGGACAGGAGGGAGGGAGCCCAGCAAGTGAAGGAGGAAACAGTCAGACTAGGGAGGGGTAGATTAGGTTTACAGAAACAGAATGTGACAAGGGGAAACGGAGGCTTAGAGGACACCCAGAAAAAGACAATAAGTGGAAAGGAGTGAACCATACAGGATAGTTGAGGATGCAGTTTGCAGAGGTGAGTGGGATTAAAGGATAATACTGACGATGCATACTAGGAAGTATGTAATGAATAGAATCCAACCAGGGACTTGATATCTCCTCAAAAACCTACTCATTTACTTCCTTTTCTTAGCATTTAAATGACAAGTTGAACAGCGCTACAAAATGCATGCAAAGAGACTAAACTATTGTGACAAATAATAATTTAATATTTCACACTCTGTGTCCTCTGAAGCTGCCTGAAGGCATGAACAAGATGTCAAGGGTACTGTAGATGGGAAGGTGGTACCCAAAGGGAGAGTTAGAGTAGAGAGTGAAGAGGGAGGAGGAAACGGGAGAAAAAAACAGAATAGAGGGAAGGTAGATGGAGGCCGACGCTTTGAGACGTGAGAAGGGCAAATGAAGTGCGAGGACACAGAAAGAGGAGCAGTCAGTAAGAAGTTGTAAGTGGCTCATACAAAATGTAATGTGATAGTTGCCAAAGGGCAGACTCTGGGCTGTAATCAAGGTGATATCAAACCTTTTGTTTTTCTTTTATAATTGCATTTGTCCTTGTCTTTATCGATTTAATGCTAATGTTTGAGTTAGTGAAACTGTAGTGGGCTGAGATGGAATTAAAATGAAGTTGCAGTTTAGATGTCTTTGAAAGATGATTGTTACGTTGCGTCTGAAAAGTTCAGTTTTTGTCAAATTAATAAGTTTTCAAAACATTCAAGACATTTCAAAAATACGCTTTCTTGCTGAGAGTTAAATGAGAAGATCGTCACTACTGTCGTGTCTGGCTGGTAATTACAAAGGTACAGCCAGCAGCTGCTTAGCTTAGCATAAATACTGGAAACGGGGGGACACTGCTAGCCTGGCTCTGTCCAAAAGGAAAGCAAATTCATTAATACGTTACAACAAGTTTCTAGAATCTGTATAAAGACTGAAGTGTGAAAATGATGGGGTTTTATGTGCCAGACAATTTTGAATTTTGTTACCTTTAGACAGAAGAAGGCTAGCTGTTTCCACCATTTGCAGTGTTTGTGTTAAGCGAAGCTAACCGGCTGCTGGCTGTACCCCCATATTCAACTTATGGATATGAGAGTGGTATCATCTAACGCCATTTATTTACCAAAAATCCCAGAATGTCAAACTATTCCTTTTAAACCAAGAAGCTTTTTGCAAGTTGTCTAATGACAACTTTATCCATCTCCCAAGCTGGACTTCCGGACGCCTCCTGGCTTCGACCGCACACGCAACGCCGAGATCGGCAACAAGGATATCAAGTTCAAGCACCTGGAGGAGGCGTTCACCTCAGAGCACTGGCTGGTCAGGATCTACAAGGTCAAGAACCTGGATAACAGAGAGCCGCTGGACCACAAGCTTCGTAATGTCGTGCCCAAGCAGAAGTACACCTCCAAGAAGGTACAAGAAGACATCCTGTTTTGTTGTTTTAAATAGGTGATTCATGTTTTAGAAATATTCATTCATATTTTATAACTGAAGGGAAACTGCACCCAAACATTGCAAGCAAACCCATTCTCAAGAAGTCTTTTTCACTGGCCGACATAGAAAGCAGTAACGGTGACTTCAGTCTGTAAACTAATAGCTTATTAGAAGGAGTAGTATTTGTAGTACTACTCAGTTTCTTGCTCTCTGACAGTTTCATATGTTGGAATGTGTGTGGAAGGGATGGAGGGTGAATGTGATGCTGCCTTGTAGTTCAGGGGAGTACCAGGACATATCATACATTGTCCACAGATTCTATTTATTGAGCTGGTCTTGAACAGAATCGCTGGATTTCCTGTGGGAAATGACTATAATGGAAAATCTATATATTATAATATACCCTATAAGTGTAGCAGAGTGACTGTACATATAATCTACAGACTCAAAGTTACCTTTTAATGAATGTTTGTGATATTAACATTTATCCATCACAAATAAACTAGATTATATACCTAAGACCAGTATTGTACATAATATGTACTTCATTATATCTACAATTTATTGAAGCAGAGGAACTCCATATTTCTGTGACTTTAAATTTATCATATTCAGTTGTCATGGTCATTAGATCCTATCAATAGGTTCTGTTTGGTGGGCCAGAAGTGATATGTAAGTAATTAAAATCCAATTTTATCCTGTAAATTCTAGATGAAAATGATTTTAATTAGATGGTTGTTTCTTTTTTCTGTCCCTGTGACCAGACCGCCAAGAGGAAGCGAGGACACATCAAGAACAAGCTTGCCCTGAGAAAAGGCAAGAAACTACAAAAAAAATAATGATGATGATGAACTCTTCTAGGCAAACAAATGCGAAGAAACCTTGAACAACCAGTGAAGAAGAACACAGGAGCTGTTTATCTGGCACTTGGTCTCTTCTCATTAGAGCGCCCCCCGTGTTGAGGAAGTTGAAGTGTCATATCTGGCTAGCTCCAGAACTGTTGTGCGTTTTATCCTGAGGACTGTATGTCTTGCTTATTTTCTTTTATCTTAATTTTTTTTTTTACTTTGTACTTGAATGTGTGGCAAGGTATAGGGCTGCTCTACTTGGTTCGGCGTTGATTAATTATTTTGTGGTACATTTAATTAACTGCTTTTCAGTACGGGGTTTGGGGTTGAGAGGACGTGGAGGGGAAACGAGAGAAGACTTGGAACATTTGCACCAAAGACCCATCGACCTTGCTCCATGGCACATGTGAACTCATTACTGAGAGCGAGAAAGCGCAGGAGTGAAAGCTGAGGACTTGTTCCTGACACGTGTACAGAGGACAGTATGCGGTATGGAGGAACGTCACCGTCTAGGCACAGCCCATCTGTAATATTAACCTTTTTATCATCGTCATCTCCTTTATGTCTGCCTGGCTCCCCAACCTTCTTTTTCAACAAATTCTTTAGAAAAAAAAAAATTGGCCTAATATGTAAATATATTATGTAAAGAAAATGTCTAAAGGATGATAATATATTGGAGTATTGTGGTGATTTTTAAATATGCAGTTCCTGTTTTTTCCTAATTTCTTTGTGATTGTTTTTTTTTTTTTTTTTTTTTTTTTGTATGACAGCAAATAGATCAGTGAATGCAATAATTCTTGTACAGAGGGGCTTGAGGTTTTGTTGAAAGAATGAATGTGAATTTTTACAAACTCCCACCCCTAGCCCTCGTTTTTCATAAATTGCATAGATTGTATATTTCTGCTGCTAGGGTTTTAAAGACGGACGAAAGCAAGCATAGGTAAAAAGTAGTGAAAATAAATTAGGCCTCCCTTCCTGCAGAGGGAGCTCTGTAGTTCAGTGTGCAAAGCCTAGTGCCTCATCGCTGGTCATAATCGCCTCATTAATTTGTGACTGTCTGCTTTGTTAGTGTTTTGATTTATCTGATCATGTATCAATGCGGCCGGCTGGGTGCTTCGACCAGACTGAGGCTATGGAAACTGGACATTTTCAATATGTCTGGAAGGGAACTGTGAAGGGGGGTAGTTGGTACACAGGTACTCAAACTAGAAAAGACAACTGAGGTTGGGAAAGGATGGACTAACGGCCATCTTCAGGTTACTTTAGAGCTGTGTCCTAATTCCATACTGCATAAAAGTCTAAAAAAGCAACCATCATTCTCAAATATGTCCGTAAGCATTAGGGCTGCAACATAAGTCTTATTATTACCAAAATACTATCAACTAATAAACTAATTGTTTCACCCCTAATGTAATTTGTTCACATTGTAGAATTAACAGCTATTCTAAATAATGTAAGTAAGCATTAGGGCTGCAACCAATTATTTTATTAATTTTTTTGTCTATACAATGTCTCAAATTAAGTTAAAATGTCAATCTTCAAATGTCTTGTTTTGTCTCACAAACTGCCGAAAACCAAAAGTATTGAATTTACAGAGATAAAACAGAAGTAGCAAATCATCTCCCTGGAAAAAGCTGTAGCAAGCAAATTTTTGGCATTTTTGCTTAACAAATGATAAATCTATTATCAAAATAGCTGCACATTAAAGGCGTACACCACAGGTTCTAAAGTCGGTGGACAAGCGAGAGACGGATTCAAAAAAATCAATATCAAAGCAGCAGAGGTCGAGATGATCCTTAACTTTTAGTCCAGTGTGAGTCGAGCTCCAAAAATGCTGGATCCTACATTTCCCATGATGCACCTAGGGCTTGGTGATACGGCCAAAAATTTAATCATGATAAAAAATTTCATACCATTCGATATAGATAATTATCACGATAAATGTCAAATGATTATTTCTATCAAGTTAAAAGCCGGATTTTTGCTTTTTGAAGAAATCAGATGGTTAGTTGTGGTTTTAAACTTTTCTTTATGGTCAGAACATGACAAACACTTAACACCAAATAGTGGATCACTTAAAAAATCTGAGGAACATTCAAAACAATTAATTTTTTTTATTATATGCTTGAGTAAAATTAAGTAAAATCTTTTTCTTTTTTTCAGTCCCTTTTTCTCAACAAAATATCTTAATAGGAAAAAATAAGTGCTAATTTGTTCGGGATTCAAATGACTTAAATCAAACATTTATTGACGATATATTGAACGTTTGTTATATTGTTATTGAGGAAAATTATATTGCGATAATTATTGATTTATTGCCCAGCCCTAGATGCACCTAAATAACATCTTACATTAGACCCCACATGGCTTTCAAAGTCCTAACCCCCAGTTTGTAACACAAAAAAAATCTTAATCCCAATTGTCCAATCGATGAATCTGTTAATTATTTTCTTCGTTAATGGTTTGGTCCTCAGGATATCACAACATTTTGACTCGGCTGATATTTAGTTTAATATAGAAGACTAAGGAAACAAGCAAATATTCACATTTGCAATGAAATTTGCAAGAAAATAAATATTTATTAATATTAATCAAACATTAAAAATAGTTCATTCATTTTCTGTCAATTGATTTATGGATTAATCACGTGATTGTTTCAGCTCTAGCATATACTACACAGTTGGGACGCAGCTCTAATGAGCCATAACCTTTGACTTGTTGTCCTCTGGGCACTGCACTGTTCTTTGTGTGTCTGGGTTCTTCTTCAGCTGTCCAAACACTTAAGTTTCTGTATATGCATGTATTTTTGTTTTTCAAATAAGTGACACATCAAAAGACTAACACATCATACAGCTGTACTTGTTTTGTCACATCTCACAAAAAGTGACTGGCTAGTTTCACCGCTTCTACACATTTTTTTTTTTTTTAAATTGTCTGAATCACTTTGTTCTTTTTGCTTTGATCTTGTTTGAAACGGTGTCACCATTTCAGGCTTCAGACCTTCGACACAATGCCACATTGTTATTCAGTTACACAAAGCCTAAAACTGTGTCATGTCCTTGGATTCCTCATTTGTCAAGAGAGGGGAGAGTTCAGACTAAGCCTTAATGTGACGTGCAATGTGTTGCCCTTTGTTTTTATTTTCCTTACATTTTGTGTCACTTCGGTGTGGCGGAACGGTTCCTTCCTCTACTAAGTTTACTCATTTCTTAGTAGCTCAGTGCCGTCTGTCCCCAACATCATTTTTGTTCTAATGAAATCCCTCCCTCACCTTCAAAGTTTACATTTTTACATTGTTGTTCTGTTAAGCCATCTTTAAATATACACTTTAATGAAAACACTTGTGTATGTTGTTATTGATGTGCCATTTTTAAACCAAAGCATTATTCAGAAAGATAAACGGAAATTACATTCAGTATATTCATATTTTTCTAGGCAAACAGAAAGCCAACCACTTGATGGCAGCATTAGCCTTTGGATGAAGACACTTGCTCCTGAGTCTGCAACAGTAAGAAGGAAGGAAAGAAAGCATGCTTGTGAGTGAGTGTATGGTCACGAGGTGGAATCCATTGGTATGTGGGTAAATATTGGTTGAGTAATGTAAAGTCAAGCTTCCCATCAATGAATAACTTCCTAATATTCCTTAACTAGATCTGAGTAAGCACTTGAAACCTGTAAAGAACTATTCTTGGACATACACCGATCAGCCATAACAGGTCTCCCTTTTGCCGCCAAAACACCCCTGATCCCTCAAGGCATGGACTCCGCTATGTATGCACTGTGTGTTGTGACAGCTTTTGTTCAGAACCAGCATCAACTTTTTCAACAATCTGACCTACAGTAGCTCGTCTGTTGCGTTGGACCACACATGCCAGCCTTTGCCCCCCACATCACCGAGTCTTGACCATCCGTGACCCTGTCCCCGGTTCACAGCTTTGTCTTCCTTGGACCACCTTCGATAGCAATCAAAATTTGGCCCTCGTCAAGGTCGCTTAAATCCTGGCACTTGCCCATTTTTCCTGCTTCTAACAACTTCGAGGACAAAATGTTCAGTTGCTGCCTTATATGTCCCACCCACTGATTTTTCTCGTTATCATGGCACCGGTCAGTGGTCAATGTTGACCAGTGTATGTGAAGCAGCACCCTATTAGTATTCCAAAGGAACCACATGAAGTTGTAATGCTCATTTCACCCCACAAAACATCCCTGATAGGCAATTATTGTTAAATTTGGAGGAAGGTATACCCTTTGCCGTGGCCATCTTAGGTTGTCAGACTCAGCTCTTTGTCAGATCATCCTCAAACTGTATCCAGACATTTTAGCACACACCTAAAGATGCTAGCATGCTCATCCTTGGCCATGATAATGTGCTATGCTAAAAGTTAGCATATTTAGTCAACCATGTCACATAAAGCATGTTAACCGTTAGCTAGCATGTTGCCATGTTCGCATACTGAAATTATCATGGTTTTTGTGTCATGTAATGTTTAGCTTGACAAGCCAACATTTAGCCTCTTTGTTTATAATGCTAATGCTAAGCATGTTATCGTGCCATCAACATATTTGCTATGTTAAAAATCTTATGCTTAAATTGACAGGAATTTGGTTCTAAGCTTTAAAGATGTAATTTTGAGATTAACTTCTTGGAAATTGGTTGGTTATCTGCTGGTGTCACCAACGTTATTAGAGTTCATCTTCATGTACTGTGAATATTTGTACTAAATTTACGGCATATTTCTCTATCAAGTTGTTCAGGATTAGATACTCCAGGTTGGAGCCACGCCACTAACAAGGCTAAAGTGAGTCCATAATTGTCATGGCACATTTATTAGAACAGCGATCTCAAATAGCACATACTGTGACCTTTCTTACGAAGACTTAGATGTTGCATAGGTCCTCTACCTGTGGAGGGAACAAGGAGTAGCGGTATACAGTATATGATGAATCACTTGAATGCAAGACATTTGTAAGAAGACATGTTTAATTAAAAAAAAGATAGGTCTTTATTAATAGATAATACCTCCTTTATCCACAGTCACTATCTACTTCAGTGAGTCTGGATCCCTTTGGATATAAAAAAACAAAATAAAACTGTTAGTTTCATGTAAGGCGAATGTCATAAATCAGTAATGAACAGTGGTTTGCTGAAGATGACTGGTTGCAGGTTTGTTCTCTATACTGTCATGGCATGACAAGCTACAAATAGGCATCTGGTAAATTCACCTGGCTTAATACCATTTGAAAATTTAAGTGAAGAAACATCTGTAAGAGCAAGCAGTGAGGTGATTATGTGAATATCCCTCCATGACAAATATATAAGTCCTTCAGAAAAATGTGAAGTGGATTTACTGTTAATTGTTCTTATTTAATTTCTACTTTGTTGAAAAACCATGAAATTGGCCACAGACTTTGTCAAACATGGAATGTAAGTACCACAGTAGTAGGACACATTAAATTTCCTTTTCTCCCCAGCAGGCTGGTTATCCCAGTTCCCAGTGATTGTTATTCTGGTAGATTATCCTCTCATCTTCACAGAGGCAACCTTCGAGCGACCCCCAGATGTGAGAACATAGTTGTTGTTTTTTTTTTCCCCCGCAAGCCTTCTTCATCCATATTCATCACCACGGGCGACCTGAGGAGAAGTACTAACTTCAGGAGGCACGGACTGGGTGAGCAGCTGCAGCCTAATTACACAAGTGCCATTTGGGGGGCACAGATACAAACAAACAAAAAGAATTTTGAAAACCCTGGCGCATTTTGTCACAAGTTTTGTTTTGGAAGTATAAATGGCTAATGGCTGGAATAGCTGAATAAGAGAGGTAGTAATGGAAAGCGTCTGTTATGCAGAGGCTTCTCGCTCAGTGGGTGAAATACTGTAACTGTAGCGACGTGGCAAAATATAAAGGTAAAACACAATAAGCATGTAGAATAGCTACACAGTACAAGCATACTATTAAAATGTGCCTAAATACATTCATAGTGCAGACAAAACAATCAGGACCTTTACTTTCTAATAGCTTACTGCAATGGACTGTGCAATAATATATACTAAGACAAAATCTAATGTAGTACATTTGTTTGTTTTACCTCTGTTTATATCTCGTTTTAAATCTGGTTAGATGGTTAGTTTTCCCCTTTAAAGCTCTTAGAGATCACCCTGATTGGTAAAAGCCATATATAATAAAGTATTAAATTTATTTCTATGGTAAAAGTGCTTTTATATAAACAACTCGTTTACAGCTACAGTATTGTGTGTTACAGGGAACTTCTACCAATTCATTCTAACGCTGCATCACAAACTAAAAGCTTGGAACCAAACATTGATGTCTGAGAAAACATATTGATCATTAAAAAAAACGTCTAAGCAAAAGACCAGTGGCAAACTTCATTACTGTGCGTGTGCAAAAAAGGCCTTGACAAGGTGAAAAATAGAAATACTCTACTTAGAATAGTAATATTAACTGTTTATAAAAATGTACTTTTGTCCCAGGAGCTCCAACCACCGGAGATCCCTTTGGCACCTTGCTTGTTTCCTGTTTGTGTGTCACTGGGAGTCTATAGCACAAGTCTGAAGGTCTCTGGAGTACGCCCCTCCCTGCGCTTCGCTTCCTGACCTCTGCCCTCAGCTTGGGGAGGCGGGAGCTCAGATTTTGTCCATGAGAAGACTGTGTTGGTCTGCTGTCAGGTCGACTTCAACAGTGAGTTGTTGTAGATCCAGCCGTCTCCCTGCACATGCAAGAAGAAAAAATGGACGATTCTTAGTGGAAGAAATCTCTAATAAACTTAAACTTTGATCATCTGACAAAGGGTCAGTGACCCAAGTCCCCAAAAGTAGTACATAGTGGCATAAGGCCATGTAGGTAGTGGATGTTTTCTGAGGTTTTGAGATATGATTTGGGATTTATTTCCTCCAGCCTAATTCAACAGGCCAAGTAATAATAAAATTAACTTGCCAGTTAGTTAGTTCTGCTTTACTTCTATTTTATATTCTATTTCACAATAAGGGTCGGCTTGTGCTCGATAAGAAGAACTAGTTTGAACGACATGATGTCCGCTCATGTAGGAAATCAAAAGTGTGTATTTACACACCAGAAGGCAGAGTGAAAAGCTGTCCGTCACAGAGAGGGGAGATTCATAATATTGTTTACGAATAACTGCACACATTTTCGGACAGTCTCTCCCTGTTCACTTGATTTTATTAATTACCGTTTTGTTTTCTCAGATCTCTCTAGAATGTCTCACCACTACCAACAATTTATTCACAGTTATTCCAGCTATGAGCTACTTCTACATTTCCTTTGTGCACAGCATTGCAGGAGAATAGCAGGCAGTCCATCAACAGCACACTAAAAAAAATTTACTTTATTGCATTATTATGCAAGTGTACATTATTTTGTCACCTTCAGTGTGAACACACTATACTCAAAGCCTGCTGTGGTATGTAGCATTGATTTGGGACACAGCTATGGTTTACTTCCTGTGTTTAGTCTCTTGGGCTGCTCACAAGCCCGTTGTAGTCGCTTTCGGCAGTGGACAGAGGTCAGCATGGGCACCCTGAGTGCCCCATACGCAACAAACTGCGATGCAGAACCAGCATCAACTTTTTCAACAATTTGACCTGACTCTGTCGCCGGCTCACTGCTTTTGATAGATACTGACCACTGCAGCCCGGCAACACCCTACAAGAGCTGCAGTTTTGGAGATGCTCTGACCCAGTCGTCCAGCTATCACAATTTGGCCCTTGTCAAAGTCGCTCAAATCCTTACACTTCTCTATTTTATCCTTCTTCTAACACATCAACTTTGAGGACAAAATGTTCACTTGCTGCCTAATATAACCTGGCAACTGACAGGTGCCATGATATTCACTTCACCTGTCAGTGGTCGTAATGTCATGACTGATCAGTACCTTTTTAAGAATGACCAGAGATTTTCAGGTGGTAGCTGTGTCCTAAATTACAACACATTTACTACTAACCTCAGAGACAGTCATGGTTCACTCTGTAGTGAGCAGTAATCGTCATTACTGACACATGTAGCACATATTCAATATGCTATATGGAGTATAAATTTCACTCGCATAAAATGGCTGAAATAGTGTAAACAGAAGTGATTTCAGACACAGCCTGTGATATTTTCAAAACTGTAAGAATGGCTAGCTAAAAGCTGAAGGGGAGTTTGAAGATCGTGCTCCTGTATCCCCACACCACGCTGCTGCTCAGCCTTGTATCACAGTTACAATCTTTATCTCCCTCCACTGTACCTCTTTAGTGAAGAATTTGGGTGTCCAGGGTTTGTTGTCGGCTGCTCGCTGCCTCTCTTCCCCTCTCTGTCGCTCCTCCAGCCTGTGTTTGTGCTCTGTGGCCTCGTCGATGTTCCCTTCCTTCAGCGACTTGGTGACATGTTGCCACAACCGCCTGCAAGCACAGCGAAACCACACAACAGTTACATTTATAAGCAATTCTCCCACATCTGGCTTCACCCTACCTTGTGGGATTGAGTTTTTCACCTGGATTCTGTCCTCCCCTGTCTCTCCACAGGCCGCAGCTTCTTCCTGGTGACTGGAAGTTTGCCCGTGTCCATCACTTTGGTTTCCCCGCTGCTGTAGGTGAACTCCAGCGTGCCGTTCCACTCGCCCTGGGCCTTGCACACGATGGTGTTGGTCGGGTTGTGTTTGACCTCTGCCGTCACTCTGAGTTGGCCAAAAAACAAAACAAAACGTTGTTATGAATTTGTCTCATCTGTCTCTATTACATTTATATCTGCATTTTAAATTTCAGGAATAAGGTGCTAATTGACTTAACATCACTGAGACCCACTATGTGAAGATTTGTTTTATGTGATGTCTCTTAGAAATTGTTTACTACAAAAAAAAAAAAGGAAACGTAATTGTTGTCTAGATTTTGTTCAGTGGCAACATTTTAGGAAGTTTGTCTGGACGGATGGTGGGCGTACAAGTGCAGAACTTTTGACGGTCGGTTCTGAAGTTAGGGTTACAGAAGGTTTGTGGTTCCGGTTAAATGTTAATATTAAATACATGGTATCTCCTGTTTCAAGTCATTTTCACTATTTAGCCAAGACCTTAACCAAATGCCTGAACATAACCATAAAAGGTGATAATCATGCTTAAGTTGCTTCCTGCAGATATTGTAGGGGAAACAAATAAAAGGTCAGTGAACATTTTGCTGATATGTGCTGTATAAATATTTTTACAACTTGGCTGATTCTTTCTTTAAAATGGATTCCATATAATCTTAATTAAAAACGTAATTTTTCTTTCAAACGTACAGTATTTGCTGTTAGTACTAATATATAAAGGTAATTTCTACGAGACAGGGTTGTAATTATGGCATCTTATTTTAACATCGAGTGGTACTTTTTTGTTGTAAATTGAGAACCCCAGTGGAAACTAGCAGTCTGTATGTTGCAGTGATACAAATGCAGACAAATTGCAGCAAGTGGCTTTTATGTCCTTATTTATTTTAACATTGAGGCATTATTTTCTCACAATAAACAGCCTTTTACTGACTTGCATTGTGCATTTATTGTGAAATCTGTTTGCATTGCTTTACATCACTACACAGAGAAATTGATTTATTCCTAGTTTTTAAGAGTTTTTTTTTTAACATTGCAGATGGAGGAATAAGAAAATAAGTTGAAATACTTGTGTCTTCCTGCATGTGTATATGTTGTTTTTGATAACAGAATAAAAAAAGAAATTCTGATTTATCCACTATATTAAAGCCAAAAAGATACAGAGAGGGATAACAAGATCAGCAAGTTATTTTTTAACAGCAGGTGAGCTGAACAGCAGGTCCCTCATATGCTGTAATTGTGTGGAAATTTTTTTTAGACTGTTTTTATGCAGCTGTTGTCAGGGAGCAACCCTTATTACATAATCTAAATGCCCAACATTTGCCTCCTTTATAATCACACTGTTGAGCACAAAGCCACCAGAACATATAAAAGGAAAAGACGAACTAGCCTATAATGTTTGCTGTCAAAGTGAGATGACTGTATAAAGGCAGGAGGTGGGAGAGAGAAAAATACTCACCGGTGTACCTTCCCTCCATAGAAGGGCTTAGTATGAAAGGTGACTGTGGCAGAGTAGCCGCTCTTGACACAGTTGATGGAGACTTTGCCCCCCAGCTCCACCCAGGGCACTGTGAGGATGGAGCGGGCGTAGGCACAGGGCAACGTGAAGACGTACTCCTCGTCGTGCTCCAGGAGACAAAGGACCCCTGAGAGGAGGAAGGAAGAGATGCATGATGGAGACACAAACGCACAAAGACGACAAGAAAATAGAGGGGGAAAAAATGTTAGAAATGAAGGTTTCACTGAGAGGAAGCTCATTTCTCAGGAAAAACATATGGCTCGAATGTGGTCCAATAAGAATTTGGTTTGAAAGTTCAAATCAGGCAAGGCATGTTGAACCAGCTGATTTCCCTGCACAGTGCCTCTTTGTCTAAACACTAACTTAATCTGTTTTCACCGAGCTAGTTATATGTTTAACACAGAAAGCAGCAAAGAGAAAAGTAAATAATCTATATAAACATTGAATCAAATGTAATGACTAGGCTATGCATTTATGGTAACAGTTAATATGATGTAAGTATTAAATCTCTGAAGTGCCCATTACAGCAGAAGCTTTAAATCTTAAGTAATGTTGTGATTAATCAACATTAAGCAAAGTGTCCTGTGTATAGGCAATAAAAAGCAACAGTATAATTCAGCACAATGAACACCCACTGTGATAAACCAGTTGAAATCACTTTAGGTAGTCAGTGTTCCCATTTCTTGGGTGCATGGATTCCCGTAAGGGAGGCTATTATACTCATGATCAACTCTCGTCAAATGTAACTCATCATCTGCGTCATTCAGTCGGTGCATAAGTCGTAAACAGCAACATAACCAACTTTCTGGGTCTCCTCTGACTCTCACATGTCCATGAATAGCTTTCTGTTCTTATACCATAATCACATTTTTACACAAGACTGCGTGTGTGGCTACGTTTCTCCGCAAAATGCCTACAAGGGGAAAAACTCCATTGTGGTCATATCATGATTCAGAGGGTTAAGATAGCGAGATGTAAACCTCACAAAGGATTTAGCTTGAGCTTATGTGAAGGCAGAGTAGCATGCTGATTAACAATCATTAGAAGAGGTCTACTGTATGTGTCACATGTTTTCGATCGGTCTGAAAGCCAGTGCTAGACAGAGTATTCAGAACATTTAGGTATTAGTGACATTAGCAATTAGACGGTGTGAAAATACTCTCATAATTCTATTGGAGTACAAGTACAGGGGTATTTATTATGCAGAATGGCTCCTCTAAGAATATTAAATTAAATAGCACCCAAAGACCTGAAAGATAGATAAACCTTCAAAAATAAATACATTTTCAGGACTTCAAGGGGTTGTTTGTCAAACACATAATTTTAGTGGTTTAGTTTTATTACTGATGTGTTACAATGTAAGCAGCATTTTAACGTAGCTGGTTTGAACTCTTTTGTAACCAGTATTTCAAAGTCCCTACATATGCACGATCCACCCATACTTGTCACTTATTGTACCTGATGAGACCTTTTCTCAGGACGGTTTGGACATGCACCAACTGGGTTTGAGTGATGTATCGCTCATTCTCCAGTTAGTTTTGTTGTGGGACGAGTTACAACTTTAATTCTTATTAGTGCTAGGTGTTTTCAAGCCCAGCATATTTTACTTACTTACTTACCGACTTACTGGAACAATGCACTTCAGTTTACAAGTTAATGGTAATGTGCCGGACTTAGCTAATGAGCTCATTTTCATCTGTGAGTTTGCACAACTCCAACCTGAGTAAGTCTGATCAAACACAATCCCTGAAAACACCTGTGGGGGTTTGTGTCATATTTAAATGAATCACATGTCTTGTATGTAAAATTAAAAGTAACTAGCAACAATAGAAGTCAAATAAATGTAGCAGGAGTAAAAAATACAATAAGTAAAAGTAAAGTACAAGTCAAAAAAAGCAGAAAGTGGAAACAGTCAAGTATAAATAATACTTGTAAAATACATCTAAAATGTTCTTAAAGCGACAGTTATACATTTTGGAAAACAATCTATCTTGTTGAGAGATCACTTAGACGAGAGTATTGATATCACTCTCATGGCTGTACGATAAGCAAAGCCGGTTAACTTGGATTTGCACAGCCTTATTATTGTCCATTTTTAAGACTGGCTAACATGAATAACAACAACCAATTGCTCAAAGTTACATCCATGCAACAGCAGTCACACTTTATTATAGTCACACCAGCCTTATTATCTTGGAGATCTGGCCCTATCTGACTCCAATTTGTGAAGTTAATAATAATTCTACTGCTTTGTAACTCTATTTAAAAGACACGGAATAGCTGAATAAAGTGTACAGTCAAGCGTTTGATGGTCAGTATGACCTCAGCCACCACTCATCACGATGTCACACAGGTCAAATCAAAATCCAGCCTGTCATGTCAAAACTATCTGGCTGCATCAGCTGCTGTGCCTCTGTTACTTCTCTGGCGCTGACTCACTGCCACTCAAGTCGAGTCGGAGCCATTCATAAGTATACATACAGTATCAACTGCTATCAGGAAAGGGTAAAGATACGCAGCAATCAATGGGGTGAGGGTCACTATGTTCTTGGGTGGCCGTATCAGCCTCTGCACGCGATGATAAACTGCTGCGTCATTACCTGCCAACAGGTAGTCAGATGTACGTTGAGCCCGAGAAAGCTATAATGTATGACTAAACATTCATGTATCCAGATTCAGTCGATTGGGCTCAAGGGCTTCCTGTACCTCCGCTCAGGGTGACTCATCTCAAACAGTCTACTGTATATCGTGTAATGGTGCTGACAGAGAGGACTGGCTCATTGATTGCCACGGGAGAGGTCTCATACTCTTTCATACACGACACTGTGAAGGCCTACAGGGTTTAAAAGTGAGACGTTTGCCAGAAGACAAAAAAAAGTGCTATTTTCAGAGAATATTTTGACCTTTTGTTCCTCCCGTTATTCAGCTGACACAATGAGCACCTTCTTGAAAACAAGTAGAACACATTTATGTTACAAAAGGGGAGCTCGATTTTAATGGCAGCATTCTTGTTTGAATTAATTTAATAGTTTTGGTTGAGACTGTCAGAGGTATTAATTCAACTCAAAGGTCATTTCTGGAGTCGTAGTTTGTAGTATTGTTAAGAAAATACCACAGTGAGTAGCTGTTACGTGTCTTTTAGTTCACTATTGGTCTGGGTTACTTGTTAATTCCTTTCCGGTTTCTGATCTTTTTATTTATTATTAATGCATCATTTTGCAGTATTTTCAGCTAATACAACAGCATTTCAGGCATGAACTGCTTTTACAGTAATGGCACCTAGAAAAGGCAGCCACACCAGTTGAACACCGTTGTTCTCCACCATGTTGTGATTGCTCTCACTGAGCCTGTTACCTCCTATACTGTCTGATTTCTGTTTTAATTAACGTTGTTACCTCCTATACTGTCTGATTTGTGTTTTAATTAACGTTATGCATTTGTCTTCTTACTATGTTTCTCTTACAGGACGCTGCTGTAAAAGAGCAAATATGCTTAGCCGGCCTACCCTGTATAAATAAAGGTTAAATAATAAATAAAATGTGGAAATGCATGTTAATTAGGGCTGTTGCGATAACCGCAAAATTGAAATACCGCGGAGGATGGCAAGCCCCGCAACAACCGCAATGTTCATAATTTACTTTGCACTTCAGTGTGTGTTAAATTAATAAATTAGTGCTTCAAGAGTTCCACAACCGTAAGGAGCTCTGTTACGGTTCAAGGACGGATCGCCATGGGCTGTACGTGACCTGACCTCAAACTTGGAAGCTGTAAGTGTTGCCATGTTTTGTGTTTTAGTGTTTATTTTAAAGGTTAGCTAACTTGAAATGTGTAAAATGTAAAATGAGTTTGCTTGGCAATGTTGTTGACTAGCACCCAGTAGCTCGCTTGCGCCGCCCATAAAGCTGCTGTTAGCGGCTCGCTGTGCAGTGAGGCAAGACCCACAGACATAATATTTTTAAAGATGAGATCCAGTTTTATGCAAGTCAAGCCTGTAGCTACACAGCAATGCAGCGTGAGTGTTTACAAGCTGATGCTTGTGTTTGTGCACTCGTCCTTGCATGGTGTGCTGACTGTCTTTGTGCTGTTTTGGATATGGGGGTGAATAGTTAAGATGCCGCCTACGGGGTTACCCAGCATTACTATTATTATGCTATATTGTACCAAATTACTTCATTGATGAAAAATGCGATAATACCGCATACCGCGCTGTTGAGCCGCAACATATTACCGCGGGGGAAATTAATTGACCGCGAGTGAGTAAAATTTGAACTTGTAACAGAGTATCCAGTGTGGTACATCACATATTCAATGACAATAAAGAAACAAAGTTCAACCCAAAGTGAATGAACAGAGAAAGTGTGATTGTTTTCAAAACATGACATATCTACAGTATTGTATGTAGTTCCATGTTGTATTAGCTCACCTTCTCCCACCATGGACACTCCTATAGACATTCCCATGAACTTGCTCTTGGTCCATACATGGGCGTTGACACACATCCTCCTCTCCCGGCACTCACAGTAAAACCCTGACACTGGAGGATGGTGGGACACCTGCTCTGCCACAAATCGGACTCTGTAGCAGCCTCCTGGTGAATCATCACCCTGCTGTGTGTTGTTGGCACCCCTGCTTGGCTCCCAAGAAGACCCCTGGTTCGATCTGACCAAAGGTTTGACTTTGTCCCGGGGCACTTCCCAGGAACAGTGGAAGGTCTCTCCCAGCACCGGGTTGTAGGGCTTCTTGGCCACGGCACCTTTCCGTCCCTCGTGAAAGGCGGTCAGGTAGTACTCGACAAAACGGACTATTCGGTCCTCGGCCGTGGCCCCGGCTGTGATCGAAAGGAACATGTCAGGGTGGGCCATGAAGTTGGCGTACATCTCCAGTAGTGATCGCTTTTCCAAAATGAAGGTAGGCAACACCACCTAGGAAAAACAAAATGACATTTCACACAATTTATGACACATAAACTTTATTTTCATAAGTCTGTACAGTCTCTTTTTGTAGTTCTAATTTAAAAATCATTGTTTCACTGCCGTACCCGTGTGAGGTCCATGCCCAGTTTGAGCTGGGAGAGCAGGTGGAGAATGATGCTCCGCTGGTCGTCCAGGACACCCAGGTCCTCCTCTTCATTATCCTCTGTGTCTGTCACCTCTTCAGTGGGACTAATGTCTTCCAGCCCGGTGTGGCGCTATGACCACAAGAAGAAAATACAAAGTATAATGATTTTAACCTTATCTGTCTAGATTTACTGTTTTGGAGTACAGTACTTTTTTTGTGGAGGGTGTGCTGTAAACAGATGGAGCCACAGCTCAATGTGAATCTGCTGCACAAGAAATGAGAATTCATACTGATAACAATTCTGCACCATTCAACCACTGTGACATGAAAGATTTAACCAATCAATAGTAATAATAAATTCTATTTAATTGATGAATCAATTTGAGTTTTTCCAATAAGCGCTACTTTGTCATTGTTCTATACTACAGAAAATCATTAAGACTTGATATATGGTGTAGCTGAACCAACCCTCCACCCTGAGGTTAGACTAGTCTATATTTTCCTTATTGTCAATAAATCCCATGAAAAGACAAAACACAACTGTGCATTAAACTGTTAAAAATGTTAACAGGTCACAAATATATAATTTTCGTTTTTTTAAAAAGCTCAGTAATTTCCTAGAACTGGCTGCTGTAGTTTTTAGTAAATTTTACTCAAACAAGAGTAAATAGTGTATTTGCTGGGGACTGTTGTCAGCTGCGGATTAATACACGTTTGGTGAGCTAGTGATTATTTAGCAGAACACTGTATGTGGTTTGCCTCAAAATAAACTACCGAGACTATATTAGACTGTTACCTACCATATCCTTAAAGAAGAAATGACTGTAAATTGTGCAAATGTTTTGACTGATCTTTTGTGTTACAAAATGCAACAAAGTTTTTTTACAGCTGCAGCCGTCCAAAAAGATATCTAAGAAGTGAAGTTCACACTTTACTGGGAACTCCAATATATATAACCTGTGACAGGAGCTCCTGAGTGAAAAGGCCGGGAACCATCGATATAGCTGCTAAGAATATTCTATATTTTACCTGGAGTCTGGCAGTGATCACTATTCCACAGATACAGTGTTGTTCACTCTGACACCTGTCACTTGAAAAGGTCAAGAGGAGGAAGATGAGGTAATTTTCTTTTACCAAAATTCAACTGTCAAGACCGATGATAAGGTCAACTCATTTAGAGTCCAGCGCAGGGGTTGTTACATATGCAACCCATAATTACCAAAGGACACAACCTCTCATTTTCTTTTCACTGCAACCTCTTCATACAATCATTCTGACATGTCAACCCGCCTATCAAGTCACTTTCAGTGTTTCATATGGGTGTGTGATACTTGGTATGTTCAAAGCAGACATAAGTTGTGTCCTTCGTTTGAATTTCAGCGTTCAATTGGAAGAGGATCCAGTTGAGGTTAAAGAAGAGCCTTTGATATCTTGCGCGGTAACTTCGGGTAGGAAGGAAGAAAAATAAACAAGGAAGAGGCTGATGTATAATGCAGAAAGTGCTCTTGAGCCTGTGGGCCACAGTAAAGTCTTTCTATACCCCCCTCTGCTCTTTATACTCCATCTCTATGCAATAACAGTCAAGGCAAATATGTTTTTTTTCCAACTTGTAGATCGAATATTAGTGAAGCTGCTGGGGGAAAAAAGCAAAATAAGCAGGAATACTGAGGGCATCTGAAACTCCAGTTTAACTGCGTGGAGAGCTCCTGCAGAAAAGGGTGGAGAACCACTGAAGAAAAAGATTTCCAGGACCAGAGTGGCTGCTTGTCACCTGAATATTTAATTCCATGCATACATGCCAAAAGCTCCACTCACACATCCATGCTGAGCATACTCTCTGCACCAAAACACATTTCGCACAAAAGACACACACACACACACACACACACACAAGGGAGGCATGCTTGAACACAATCACAGGAGTCCCTGGAGCTGCTTGGTTCTCGGAGCAGAGTGATATATATAGAAGTGAGAGGGAAAAGAGAGGAGGTACTGTGGGGAGGAGGTCTGTTATGATTCCAGTGCTTCTAACTAATTAAAGAGGCTCTTGACAGCAGCTGGAAATTACTGCTGAGGAGGTCAGAGCATCTATGTTGAAAACATCGAGTGGATATACTGGTGGACTTAGTGGTTGTCATTAGCTAAGACTTTTTTAATGCACTTGTCCAGAAGTGGGTAATAATGTGTCTCGAATAATAAGTACAGAAAGTGTTTTGATTTATTACTAATAATATGAGGAGGAGAAAAGAGGTGCTAATGTCAACATGAAATTTTTTATTTTGTCATTTGGTTGTATATTATTCTATGATAACATGTCTCAAAATATCCCCATTATCACTGTATGAAATTTCTATGCAGCATATCAATTATTTTAGCTTTTTACCACCCACTGTTCTGCCTGCAAGATGCTAACACAGGACACTAGCTAGCACTATGTATAACTTTCAAAGACTGCTAGTACCATGTGTTGAGAATATTTCATAAGGGGCTAGGTAAGAGGTCTAGCTTAGAGTAATTTATCTGTCCCCATAAGTGTTTTCTGACATTCTAGCTTTAGGTATTTCTCACATGTACCTGTCCTTGTCAGGGAGACAACAATAGACTGATTAGTTAGAGACAGTAGCTCAGGTGTCAGGCTAGCAGATATCAGTGTTCTCTGTGAATCTTAAAAGGTTGAGTCCTACAAGAATGTTTACAAGAACTCACTGGCTCCACAGACTAACTAGAGTACAATTCAGGGATAGTGATAGATTCCAACATGACGAAGCATTGGAGTCTAAACATCAGATAGATTAGTTGTTCTAGGTGAAAGATGACCTAAACCAACAGGCACTACGGCGAAGAGAGAAACATAAAAGGGACCAGAAGATGTTATCCTTCAGATTTGGTGTTGGCATTTGATGTGTTCACATGTTGTATGCTGGCACTGTATCTCCTTGGCCGGGCTCAATAAACCATGCTATGTTAAGTCTCCGAAACTTCTTCACACCTGAACCTGGCTCTCAATATTTCTTCAACACCATGAAAAGTTACATGAATATGAACATGTAATACATGTATCAAAAGACAAAGCTCTATTTTTTGGGGTAGTTGTGTTCATTTTCAAGAAGAATAAAAAAAGTACAATGCAAAACAGTGTAAACAACTGCAACTTTAAATATTTGGGTGTTAAAGAGTTAGCTAATAGCTAGCTAAATTGCTACGTTTTATGGATAATGTAGGCATTATGTTTATCGGTATCACTTTCTAATGACGCACCCTTGAGTTCATGTGTTGCAACTAATGGCATTATTAACAGTTAATAAATAATACTTTAACACTTTATAGATTTGTATATTTGGATAATTTATCCTCTCACTTGGTCCAAAATTAATTTATTAAAATCTTATTTTAACATAAAACACTAACAGTTATAACTGCAGACTTGAGTTGTTTATTAGAAAGTGAGAAAGCCATGAGCACCAACCAACATTTTTACAGTGGTGGAAAAAAGTACTCAGATCTTTTACTCAAGTATAATAATACAACAATTTAAAAATACTCTGTTACATGTAGAAGTCATGCAAAATCTTATTTAAACCCGCAATAACTGATTTTTCTTTTGACATTTAGCTTAACCTTTTATATCAAAACGTATAAATTGATTTATCTTATACCATTGTAATCTGAAATTGCAAAGTAAGTAAAGCTGTCAAGTAAATTAAAAGTACATTAGGTCCCCTGAAATGTAGGAGAAGTAAGGAAATACTCAAGTACCTTAAAATTGTACTTAATTTGTAAATTGTACTGCACCCATCACTGCATTTATGTGCATTGTTACCGAATAGAAAGATAACCACCAGCCAGAGATTTTGTACAACCCTGCAACTAAAAGAAGTTCTTATTAACAGCTTATAACTGACCATGAGTAGTAAATATTTATTAGCCATTAATATAGCAATTAGTTACATCTCTTTATAAAAGGTGTCTTATTACAGAGTTGTACCCATTAATTCAATAATCTCAGTTACACAGCTTACCCCTGAGAGTGGGAAGAGGTTGTTATTTTACCTTTTTACAATTGAAGACCAATTTCAATAACTTTCAAGGACGCTGTACATGTAAATGTTTACCACCAGAAACAGCCCTGCTGGCTAGTTTGTTCTATAATTTATGAAGTCAACAAAGACTCTCAGTGTTGGGGGAAAGCAATGCTTCCCATTTCAGAGAAATTAGTTTTACTGTTAAAATGCACGCAGTGCATGCTGGGTACCCCGTAGGCGGCATCTTGACTATTCACCCCCCAATCCAAAACAGCAGAAAGACAAACAGCACACGATGCAAGGACGAGTGCACAAACACAAGCATCAGCTTGTAAACACTCACGCTGCATTGCTGTGTAGCTACAGGCTTGACTTGCATAAAACTGGATCTCATCTCTAAAAAGGAAAAAGTCTGATGGCCTCAGGAACAAGCAACAGTAAAATCCAGCAAATGGACAAAAGTTCACGCTTCTTGCTCCACAAACAGGATATCCACTGCACGAGGCTTGAGCCAGGGTAAAATCCAATTAAAGAGGTGGATTCTCAATGAAATAAACTGTCAAAAACGGTAAGAGTTTAAAGCTTTGATAGGCACCGCAGACAAAAACAAACGTCTTTCCCAATTAATTTGCTGACTGAGTGAGAAGCCGTCTTAAAGGAGTCCTGGGTGTTGTTAAAGAGATGTACAATGTGGCTTAAGGTGGTGAGCTGCTGTTCGTGACTTGCAGAGAGTCTCTCTCCTCTCTGCCCACCACCCACTCTGAAAATTCGGGGAGGAGGGGAAAAAGCTCAGGGAAAGTCCCAGTGACGTTTCCCCTCTGCATCATCCTGCAATACCCTTTGGTGTGTTTTCCTACATCTCTTTCTATATTTACATCCTCGTCGCTTGTTCCTCCGCTCACCTCCCTCCTGACTACGTCTAACATGGCTTCCGTGCTTATATCCCTCCTTCTGCACCTCCACTTTTCCTCCTTGTATCTAAAACATGTAGCAGGGGTGTGTATCTATCAGCTTGCTTAATCACCACTACTCTGGCAGCTCTGCAAACCTACAGTAGCCGCCTCTTTTTACTGCACTCACATGCAACTCTCCAATACACTTTATCTCT